CAGAAGTCAAGCAGCGGTACTTTGTAACTCACACCCACTGTTGATCTGCTGGTTCACCAGTTGCATGGGGCAGCATGGGGCCTGCAAGTGCTCCACTTGCCCCTGGATCTTCTCTCAGCTTCCCTGCTTCCTGGCCCTTGACAAGGGGACCAACTTCTCCTGAAGGACACTCATATCATTAAGGTCAGAGGCAGTAAGCTTTCAGCTTGCCCCTGTGTGTCCCAGTTTGTACCTGAGTCTTCAGCTTTTTCTTGCCCTTTACATCTGTCTTTCCTTCCCAACTTTCTGCCCGGTAGACTTCAAGCTCCGGCACCAGACTTAACAACAGACATACAGAGATGGCTTAGGCAGCACTCACCATTGTATAAGGTCAAGCTCCTTCAGATAGATAGATAGACCTATCGGTAGATCTCTTAGTGGTTCTATCCTTCTGTTTCAACCCCGATTGATACAACACTCCTGTCCCAAGTATGCAAATTTCTGTCTATAAGAATTGGCTCCAAGTTACCCGAATCAAAAACTCATCTTTTAAATTTATTTCTTGTTTTTATTCAGTGCTTCTTGGTGACTTCTTAGGTGTAACATTAACTTGGGGCTTGGCTTTTCACATATTATTAAAGCTTGAGATTTTATGACTTTTCCCCAAATTTTGTTTGGGGATCTAATGTAGTCTTAACATTAAGCATTTGGCATTTGACAAGTGAAATGAGGATATTTACATAATTTCATTTTGATGCTTTACATTCCCTAGTGAAGATCCTTTTGTTATCATATTTTGTTATAGATGTGATAACGGTTATATTTATATGACGTCCTTTACCATCAAGAATAATAACTAGAGAAAAAGACACATACTCTAGTAAGTCATCTAAAAAAAGTTGTGTTTCATGCAGTGGAGATTATGCGATATTATTTGAATTAAGGATTGTTAGTGCAAATCCTAACATACTTTACAAGTCATAGGTTGATACAAACAATGGGTGACAACTTACCTCTTTATAGACAAAATACCCTGTTTTATTTGGTAGTTAGGTAGACTCATCTTGGTGCTAAATATATTTCATGTTGCCATCTACTTGTAGGAAGAATAATAAATGTTACAAACCATTTACCTGACCTCCATTAGGAGGACAGCATAAAATCACTGCTTTTATAGAGGTGAACACACTGGTTGGCTGAGACTGCATTATTTTTCTATCTTCCTAAATCTGAAGCAATTCTAACGGCAGAAAAAATGTCAAAGCATGGCATTAGAAAGAAGATAATAAAAAAAACTGAACTCCTGTAAAAACTAAGCTGTAAGTTGCAGGTTGCTGTAGGGTCATGGAAATCTAGGAGTAGGAGAGAGAAGCTGGCCTCTCTAGGTTAGTGTCCCTGAACTGAAGTGCTTAGCAGTCTCAAGGGAATTCGGAGTGACTGGATCGCTGGGAATTCTGTTGAACTAGTGCCACTTCCTGCCCTGAAAGATCTCACACTCTAGTATGTTCCCATGTGCTCCTAGCTTTGGTCTTAGTTTCTACATTCCCTCATCTATTCCATTCAATATTGTTCTCTTGCTCCAGATGCTGAGCTGTTCTGAGTCTAAGTTAGTGAGGCAGCCTGACCTGGCCTCGAAGCTCCAGATTCTGATCTTTGAATTAAGTGAATAGCTCTGTCATTCCTGGTGGGAGGAAGCTCCCACAGCCTCCCAACGCTGTGCTCAGCAGCTGGAGCGTCTGTCTTGGGAAGGCCTTGATACTGTCTCAGGCCCTCTGCTGCCCTTTCCTGGCTACAACGACTTCTTGGACACCTTGCCGCCAAGGTAGCTAATTCTTCAGGCTGCAGCCCGGTGGGATCTCTAGCCCAAGAAAACATCAGCACCCAGGCCAGGGATGGCACTCAGCTTCATCTATGCTGTGAACTCTTAACAGTAGGCTTATTAACTGTGTGACGCTGAGCAAATTCCTTACTCTCTCTTCGCTTTATTTTTCTAGTCTGTAAAATGGGGATAATAACAGCATCTACCTTACAGGATTATTATGAAGATCAAATGTATTACTATTACTATTTGAACAGTACCTGGTATATAATAAATGCTGTAAAAAAATTAAAAACAAGCAAATGAAGGGTAGCAGAATATGCCACTCCAAAATATGCCTCTATGGCATAGGATTACTTTTGAGAAAGAGCAGACACTAGAGAAGCTCAGAAAATGGAAAGTTACCCTGTTGTAAGGGAAGCTGTCATTTATAAAGGAAATCTCCATTTCTTACTCTCTGTACCAGGAAGAGAAGGATGACTGTAAATCACAAGAGAATCTTATCAATGAAGAAGGCATCCACTCAAATCTATATAACAAACCTTGCCCTTGTTTACTGTGCTTTTCCTGGTAACTGCTCATAACTGCCTCCCCCCCTTTTCTCTCTTCTGTCTTTAGCTAAAGATGCTGTTTAAAGTTGGTGGCTTAGAGTTAGTTTCTCAGGGTAACTACCGTGTGTACACAAGACATGCATTGTTAAATGAATTAAACAAAGCGTCCATTAGCCTGCTGTGGCTCTGATGCCGTGGTGGCATACCTAAGCAAACCCACACCTAAGCCTGTAAAGGCCTTCAGGTTACAAAATCAAAACACTGAAGACAACCAATCACAAACAATCAATTAGGCTTGAAATTATGGCCGATGAGTAATTTCCCTTCTTTGCTTCTGCTTTTTCTCTGTAAAGTCTCTCCTGGAGCTGCTGTCGGTGGAGCACTCCTAACCACTTCCTGTCTGGCACTGCCCAATTCGAAGTGAGTCTTCCTCCAATTAACTCTTAAAATTTTTAGTATGCCTAAATTGATCTTTTAACAGTGTGTTAATAAGCTTCTGTTCCTTTTTCTCTTGCTGATTTGTCTTTTATTACAGGAGTCTCACCTGAGAACTCAGAAGGTAGAGGGAAAATTATTTTTCCTCCCCTATACAAACAAACAATTAATGTGTTGAGTAGAGGAGAGCTACTGATGACAAGGGAGAGAGTTCTGGATTCAGTTAGAAATGTTTTCCAAGAACATGGGAGAAGAGGATGAGGCCAGAGTGCCATGCATTTGTCATCCCTGATATAGAGTCTAAAGGACTCAGCCTGAGACACAATCTTAAAGGCGATAAATTTGCAATTACTTTCCAACCTCTATTCTTCTTCCCTTTAGAAAAGATCTGAAATGTATTCTCCTCTTGATGAAACTAATCCGTAACCAATCTATAAATGAAAATTGGAGTGAGTTTATTGTGAGCCAGATCTGAGGACTAGCTTAGCCTGGGCCTTCCTTCCCCAAGGAAGGAAGGGCATCGAAGAAGTGGGGTGTACAGAGTGATTATATACCATCAAAGAGCATGTATCACATATGATTGAAATGTCCCCTTTACATTGGTCACAAGATTGCTTTGTTAGCACAGCAATTGATGGACATAGCAGATAGTAGGTCTGCTGTCTTGGTGGACACAGCAGGATAGCAGGTCTGTTATCTCAAGCTGGGTGGTCACAGGGTGAGCACAGCAATCAGTTCCTAGCCTAGGGAGAGATGCTTATGCTTAAGGAAATGCCAGTGTGGGGGGAAGTTGCATCTTTATCTTAAGGACATTTGTTCTTGTCTTTGGGACACAGCAAATGCTTAAAGCAGATATACCATGCATGCTCACTGGCAACATCAGGCCATTTTGAAAGAACAAGATCAGGTGGAATTAGGTTTATATCAAATGGCTTCCTCATACTCCAATATATCCTATTGCTTGCCATTTGTTTATCGCTCCTGAGAGTAAAATTTATTCATTTATTCAACAATAATTTTTCGAGTACCTACTGATTTCAAGGCAGATGCCACATGCTGGGGACACATGTAAGCAAGTTAAACATGGTTCCTTGCCCAGATAAAGCTTAGATTCTGGTTTGTGAAAAAGACATTACACAGATAAGTCTGTAATTACTTGTTTAATTACAATTGTGAAGAATACTTTGAAGGATGAAGATAATGTGTACCAGGTATCTCATCTAATCCTGTGGGTCAGGGAAAGTGTCATTAAAGAAATGATATTTTAGCCTAAGAGCTGAGAACTTAGAGGAGCTGCTTAGGCCAGGGGTTCGGCCTTGAGGAAGAGAAGGGCATTCCAAGCAGTGGGAGCAGCATGGCCAAAGGCTCTGGAATTGTTAAGTCCTATCTGAGATCCAAAAGAGAAGGAGAATTACTGCCTTCCTTTAAAAAGAAGGAGTGGTCAGCAGCAGCTGTTTTACAGAATCACCTGTTTCCTCCAAGGGCTGACTCTGTTGGTGCTGTAAATTTTCCCAGCATCACACAATATCGATAGGGAAAATAGAGATTAGTTCTGATTGGGGGAAGGGAAAACTTCATGGAAGAAATTATATTAGGGTTTTAAAGGATGGGTTGGGCTTCAATAGACATCAATAAACTAGAGAATAAGAAGCTATAGACCAAATGACTTACTCTGACATTGTAACATTTTTGGTATTAACAAGATGGCAGAATTTTTTATTTGTTTTTTCTTAGGTCCTCTCTCTGGGTTCCTGAAAGCATACCATGGAATCTGCCGCCAGAACCACTTACAATAAAGTTGTCTTGTTTACAGGTTTTTGGTAAGCTGTTTTTATTCTTTAATAAATAAGAAACCATGCCATTGTCTCCTATAAAATAGCTGAGGTTTTACTTGAACAAAATCTGTTTGGAAATGTTAAGCTGGTTATATGCCTCAAGGTGGTCATTCTCTCTGGATTAAAGCTGTGGAACAATTGTGGCTCCTGTTACAAGGAAAATCACAAAGGGCCATTATGAAAAGGGACAAAAATCTCTGTTCCCAGAGGGGGACTGACAAGCTGAAAGTCCTCCTCTACAGGCCAACACAAAAGCCTGATTGCCTCAGATTGTTTGTGTATGTAAATCAAAAGACTGCCATTAATTCAGCAAATGGAACTGCTAAGCAACAAAGAAGGTGGTGATTGGCTGGATTCTTGCGCATGGGCTGGTGGCAAATCCGACAAATCCCATTGCTTTTGTTCTAAGCTCTATCTGGACACCTTTAGGAAAAGAAGCTTGTTATGTACTAAAGTAAACTATATTCTTGGAGTAGGAGTTGGGACTATAGGACTTGAAGGCAAGAGAACGTATCTTATCAAGGATCTGTTCACTCAATTTCCCCAAGTTCTCTCCAAGTTGGACTCAACTGTACATCATGACAGATGTTCCAGTGGCATTTAGTCAGGTTGAGTGTAATGGGGATACAGGACCTGAAAAAGATCAACAACCAATCACTAAAATCAATGAGGAAGCCAGTGATGTGGATGGCCCTCCACCATACCATAGGGTAGAACCTAGTCTTGAAGATTTGCCCACAGAAGGAAATCAGGAGAAAAGTGAAAAATCACAAGAGAACATGCTGCTCAACCGGTCCATGGATGAGAAGATTCTAAAAGGTAAAGCATTTTCCTTCTCTTCAGGTTGCTTGATTTGATTTGTAACAGGATTCTTTTGAAAAACTATTATGACAGGAATGAGCTGTGCATCCTCCCACCCCTGTTGCTGTTCAAATGTGGCCCCTTATTCTACAGGGGCTGCATTACGTAGGGACTAAATCTCTGCCTTGGGTCAAATCCAGGCTAATTTATTTGATACCTCTGTGACCCTAGACAACTTTCCTAGCCTCCTAAAGCCTTCGTTTTCTCATCAAAAGAAGGCAGAATAATAGCACTGACATTTGTAGGGTTGTTGCAAGGATTAGTAAGTGTTGGTTAAATGTTAACTATTGTTATTTATTATTATTTTTATGGACAGCCCCATTACTTGAGTAAAAGGAATTCAGAATTTGAAATTTTCCTTCTAACATACCTGAAAGTGTCTGAATTCATGGTTCTATACCTTATATAGATATTAAAGGAGAGGTTATCATTATGTTTATAAATGAAAGGAACCAATGAAGAAATGAGTTGGAAGAGTGAAATAGAGTTTTTAGTGATTACAGTTAAAAATCAAAGAAATCTAGCTAGTTAGAGTCTAAATTGATAATTTATTTTCCCTGGAACTACTTAAATGTTAAAATATTAATCTTGTGGGGTTTTTTCCCCAGAAAAACCAGAAGAGAATCTCTTCATTGTTCATAAAGCTATCACAGATCTTTCTCTTCAAGAAACAGGTGTTGATGAAGTGACATTCAGAGAAGGTAAGAGGAACTTCCATTTTGTATATAGAAATTGTTTGACTGGATATGGATGACAGTGTTTGCATGGGATGTTGTGTGAGTGTGGTGTTGAAAAAGCAATCCAGGCAACGCCTTCAAACGTTCAAAGCTGTTATAGGCAGATAAGGGATTCTGGACTTATTTGTGGGTTCCACCTTAGAAAGCATTCCAGAACCTTCAAGACTGAAACCACATGATTTTGTATAACTGATTGGCATACTTTGACCTGCTGATATAGTATCTGTCTTTTAATAAGTTAGTTCACTAAATCAACCTTTCTTTTTGACTTAGTATCTTCAGATCTGTGTCAGGCACCTTGAGAAATGTAAATGTTGCAAAAATCAGTTTATCCTAAAAGTTTACCATTGACATACAATTTAAAATAATCTTATAAATTTATTTAATCCATAGGAAAATTCTAGACTTCTGATGTAAGCACAAAATGGCTTTCTAATTCTTGTCAAAGGAAGCTGCCTGGGTGATGAGGTTAATTTTAATTGTGTTCTTTCAGAAAAAGGGAGACTAAAAAGAATGTCGATTTTTCAGTGACTATATTATATTTCAGATCAACTCAGGAGACTAAGAGACAAAATCTTTTAGATTTCTCTTCTAAGCAGACTCCTACATTCAAGCAGTTTTCAAATAAGCAGGATAAAAATCTATTAATTAATCATTTGTTTCCTTTCTTGCAGCCAAAAATGTCTTATCCCAAAATTGATGTCAGCTTGTTAGACTTAAGCAATTCAGCTTAGTCAGGATCTTAGGCAAAATACTAAAGAGACTCTTGATCAAAACGTTAGAACATCACACAAAATACTAAATGCCCAAGCAAGACACGGATTTGCTTGAAAATATCCTTGGTGTCCCCTTTGCCTGGACACCTCTTAGACTATGTCTGCTGACCACATGCACTGGTCTACTGTGTAGACACTTAAGGAGGAACATAGGAAGCTAAAGCCATTGTCAAGCTCTTACTTTATCAGAGATAATTTATAAGACTTAAGCCCCTATGAAATGAAGTAAATTATCTCTTTGCACTAATCTTTCTGTTTCCAAGGTAGCAAGCTCTCAGAGGCAGGGATCTCAATCTTCCATCTAGAACCCTTTTTAAATTAATGATCAGGAAGTCCACTGGAAACAACAGTTTTCTAGGATCTTTCATTTTGATCAAACACAGAATGAAAATGAAAGCAGTCTGGATTTTCAAAGTAGATGGTCTCAGGGTGGATTTTCCCTGAATGGATCCTTCTGTGTTTGGTGGAGCATATGTTTTTCCTATAGGATAGAGGTACACATTTTGGTGTCTTTTATTTTCACCATGGCAAATACCTATAAAGTCTCCACAGAGAATATGCCCTGATTGAAAAATAAGACGCTAAAAACATTGAGGAAAAGGTATAATTTAAATTCAGGAAGTAATTTCATGCATAACTCCATGCCCGAGTCATGAATATGAGCAAAAAGATCAGTTTCTTTGCTTCTTGTGGTAAAAAAGAAAACAAAACAAAGCTTAAGTTATAGCAAACATTCTAATGAGTATTATTTGTAATGTAAAGAACATGGACTAGACCCCAACGATCTGATAGGACCCATGTACAACTAGTTAGGAGTGGTAACTCACATTTGCTTCTATCTCTTTTTTGTAAGTTTACAATCTGATTCCTATAGTTGGGAAAACAAAAAAATGAAAAGAGAATGAAAAATCTTTGATAGAAATGGACTTGTGAACATCTTTCAGTGAAAGTAGAAAATTGTGGAGTGGAAGGGCAAAGAAGAATGTCACCTCTCACTTTATTTAAAGATTCTTATGGGGTTGGAAGGGCAAAGTGAACCCCAGGCTTGATAAGGGGTGTGATGCAGACAGTATTTCTGAGTCATGCACACTACAGACTGAACTTCCAACAGAAGTCCTTTAGGGGTGAAAGCCCAGAGAATATCTACTCTCTGATAATTAACTCTTTTTAGCATGCTCAATAAATACTGTTGAGGATATGCTGATATGAGCTAATTGCTTCAAAGTGAAATTTGTGATGAATTAAGTCTTTTAAAAGTCACTATATGGTACTAAACAATGTGAGTTACTTCATTGTCATTAGGGACATGTATAAAATGATCGGCTAATCTAGTACCATGTTGATATGATCTCAACATGATTTTTAAGTCTTGGCTCTTTAGGAATCAGTGGCAGATCTTAGACTATGTTATGTATATCTGTGTGGCCTTGGTGTCTCAGTTAGCTCAGCACACGACTCCTGACCCCCTCTGGCCCCCCACTCCTCCTCCTGCAGCTGGTTGGTACGTTAGGATAACTCTGAGAAGCATGGTGGCAAATATTGAATGTGCTACTCTGAGCATGACCACATGTAGGCAAGCATTGTTTTAACTATTGGAAGAAAGCCTTCTTTTCCCTGTGAGATATTTTTCTAGTTTTCCCTGAGGACTGTGTGTGTGTGCGTGTGTAAAATATAGGTTGAAATATTTTATTTTATGTATTCACTTATCCAGTCATGACAGGCTAGACAGGATTTTAAAAGTGTACCTCAGGGAATACCAGTCTCCCTGGATACAGTAGTTCACAACAAAAAAAGTTCCACAGGCAAATGAGGTTGGGTTGCCTATTTTCTCAGAGATTTACAATATTCATTAGCCTTTTATAGGTTGAGATAAATTCTAAAAAAAGCTCCCTTAACTGTATTTTCCAGACTAACTTGCTAGTGTAGCCTGTTTTATTGTTTAAATGTATCCATAACCCACAGAATAATATCCCATAAAACAAGTTGGGAAATGATTGTTTAGAAAAATACTTCAGAGAATAATAGCTGGGTATTTGGAACCAGCTAGGTATTTGGAATTTCAACTACCAATTGATTTTGCTACAGGGCATCAGTGGGAGAAAACTACTCTGAGCAGCAGTAACCAGGAAATAAGCAGACCAAAAGAAAGCGTTGCTGAACATCCTCTAGAAGAGAGAGAAGATGAGGATAGGAAGAACAAAACTCACCAGGCAACTGAAATTGAATGGCTGGGATGTCAGAAACCTAGCCAAGTTGATGTGTTGCATTCTAAACATGATGAGCAGCCAGAGGTTTGGGATGAAGAAATTAACAATGATGATGATGATGATTGCAATGATGACGAAGACGAAATTAGAGTGATAGAATTCAAGAAAAAAAATGAAGAGGGTTCTCAAGCAAAAGATGAAGGCGATGCAAGTGAGGACTCCCCACTGAGCAGCCCCAGTTCCCAACCTGTGACACCTGATGAGCAGCCACCCTTCGGGAAGAAGAATGATATGTCCAGAAGTGCTTATTCAAGATACAATACAATATCCTATCGGAAAATCAGGAAGGGGAATACCAAGCAAAGAATTGATGAATTCGAGTCTATGATGCATTTATGAACTAACTGGAACAGAGAAGTTCTCACGCCCATTAAAGCAAAAGCTAATTCTATTTTCCCGAGATGCCTCTTTGTATGCCTTAATTGAGTCATCCCCTTTAAAGATGTGGAAGCTTACTCTCTGTTTTACTGTGGAATAATGTGGAAATAACTCTAGACAAAATCCAGTCTGGTAACCTCAAATCAAAAAGCTTTAGACTCATTCTTGGACATTTGCTTTTTAAAACTTCACTAATATAGCGTTGTATAACAAGCACTAAAGAGCCAGCACCCCCGGCGAATCTGGCTTTAAGGTAGCAGTGCTGGGAAATGTAGTCACCAAACGCAAGAGGACTATATGAAATGATTCCTGTATTTCTTTTGATGTCTTTCTTCCTGTACATTGAGGGTGTTAAAATGTCTGATATTAAACCTCTCCTACTTTTAAACAGAGTTTTATAGACTTTGGCAATAAATTTTCCAAAATCCTTTGGCTTTCCCAGTATCTTCAAAAAACATTTTAAGTGGTTTTCCTTGGCATCTACAGAGCAAAAATTCGGTATAGGCCTCCTTCCTAGGTGTTACCATTCACCGAATTTTCTCACTAGAAGGACTGAGCAATTGTCAGTCAGGAAAATTCTGTTTACTAAATGTAGGCTTTATGCATTCAAGATGAATTAAACCCATTGTGAGGTTGATACAGGGAGGGGCTGGAAATTGGTGGGCAATAGACTAAAGAGTTATATCTGGTAGTTTATTTCTGTGACTGAAAATAAAATCGTCTAGCACAAAGTCATTAAAAATGAAAATGACATCTTAAGCACAATTTAAAAAAAATACCCCTCTCTATTACCACGCTTTCTCTTATTAACAGTATCTCAGAATAATTTTCTTTCCTTAGAAACCTGAGACAACTCTAATCATAACTATACTAGTTACTATGAAAATGGAAATAATTATCTTAGGATATTTTCAAAGTAGAGTGTGAGCATGCATTTTTAGTGAGAAACCTCTGATAAGTTGTTGGGAATATATAATTTACTGGACCTCGGCCCAAATCGAGATGCTTAAAATTGTGCTTGTGGAGCTTCATTCAAACCAATGTGTCAAATAATGTATTGAATATTTATGAAAAGGGAGAGTCTACATTTCTATTCTTAGATAGTTCTGTAATTTTTCATTTCACGCTTTCGTATATATTACCCTGAACTTTCTGTCACCACAGATAAAGATAATTTTCAGTCCTGCAAATAAAAAAACAATTCCTTATTGTCTGAATGTAATACAGTCTTCATTGTACTGTTCAACCCTTTGTTTATTTCTCTTTCATTTTGTGAAAAACCCTGGGTTAGCCCTTCTTAGATTATTGCTTATTTATGTGTAACAAATCCCACACATTCTAATGGTGATTTCTTTAATTCTTCTTGGTCATATATTTCCACAGTATCATATACTATTGTTTAGTGTTTACAAGACTCGAATTTGAATTCAAGATTGAAGTGCTCATTTTATTCTTTCAGATACTTTGCAGACCATGTAAAAGTTCCATCACCATCAATCTATAGAACCTACAGATTTTCTTCTTGACAATGCAAGTTTTCAAAACAAAGCCAGGGAAATCAGGTCTTCATTGATAAATGTAGGTAGAAGATTGATGCACTAGGACAATTTCCTGTTTATTTAGACCCTCTAAATCTTCCCACCTGGACAACCTATTTTCTTCTCTGGCTTACTGATGACCCCTACAATTTTCTACTTCACTTCAAAGCATAGTGTTGTGTTATCCATCATGGAACAGGACCAGATTGTTAACCTTCCATCCACAGAGCCTGTATTTTGAATTATTCCAGCAGAGGTGATGAATGCCTGTGGAACTTGAGTGAGGTGGGTGACTTATGGCCATGTGACATAGCCAAGCAACTAGCTGCTCTTATGGGGCCCCAATATATAGTACCCCTAGCCTTTTTAGCTTTGTGTTCCTACCAGACAATTAACCAACCATGAAGGATTTTGTCCACAAAGACTTTATTTTAGAGTGTGTTCAATGGGTAAATGCTTAATGCCCATAGATGGGGCACGTAGTTGCAAAAGATCACTGAAACTATTCTTTGGTAATGGCGTCTGTTATCCTACGTTGCCATCTTATACTAAGGCCCGGGAGTTAAGTGACCATAAGTAATGAGATGGTGATGGGCGTTTGCTTGATTTTTTGTAACCTAAGAAAGACAAGGGTGTGGTTCAGACTGCATGAGGGATATTTAACACATTTGAAACTCATATGGGACACGTCAGAACACAAATTGGTAACTATACAAGAAGCTTTATCACTTTTGTGATTCACGGTTCAGGGGCGAAAGAAGGGCTGTGCTACCTGGTAGGAGGGAGAATTGACTTATTGTGAGAATGCTGATACTTCTTATATGACCTTTTATTTTCCTTAATTGCTGGGTGAAAAGAAATTAATAACAGCTTTATTTCTCTGTCAATATAAAATTTGCCTTTCATATAATGCTACCTTTGAAGACACAGAATATATCAGAATCCGTTGATCGATCAATTGACCTATCTATATATCTATCTATCAACAATGTAAATAAAGAGCTGCTGTGTCTGACTTGCTTTCAATAAAAGTTTGTGTACTTGTTTTTGGTGTCTAGACTTTTTTTTTGGCTACCTTATTCTTTTTAGAAAGAACCCTTGCATATGAGTAGCTATTAAGACCATTAATAACTGCTTTCAGAAATCAAGAAAACACATTTTGATTCATTTAAATTATTTATTTCAAAAAGGTATTAAAATGATTGTGTATGAAATTGCAAAAATAATTTCTGGTGGGTAGATATATAATGTGAATAATTTCTATTACTTTTATAGAAACTGAGCTATTGTTTTAGATGTATCTTAACTCCAACAACTTAGAAAACATATAAATATCTTTGTAATCATCAAGGTAATACATTGAAACTATGCTGACACTTTTATAGTAATTGTTTCTGCATATTTACATGGGGTAGGACTTTTGGCACATTTTTAAATGGAGAACGGACATTTAAGTTTTTCAAAGTGATAGAAAAATCACTTAAAATAAGTAATAATAGAGAATTATGGAAAAAGCCAAAGCACCAGAGTATCATTAAGAAGAAATATGTTTGACCATATGAGAAAAGCAATGACTTCTTTTAAAGCCTGAACTTCATTGCTCTATAAAAACAAGAGGGCTATAAAAAGTAATGTCAAAAGTTATAGCAAACATTTGCCAATATTAAAATATCAGACACTAACATAATAAATATGAATACCAAAATGTGTATACAGCTCATGAAGAACACGAGGTGACTAGGCCATACAATCAACATGAACACAAGGACACAGGTAGTAATGAGCAGCAGAAACCCCCCAGATACATGGTGAACTACAAACCCCAAAATCAAAAGATGATGTCTAGTAATTAACTGCCAGCTTGGGAAAGTTTTGGAAATGAATTTGGAAAGTAATTTGAATTTTTACTTAGAAACTTAAAATTGCATATTTGATTCCTTCTTTATAATAACTTCAGTTGGTCAGAGGTAGGAATACTGGGTACTCAAAAATGTTCAAAGTAACTCCAAATGCCTTTATACTCCATGGTTTTAATCTAGTTCTGCTATTAACAAATGTTTTCAAGTAATCAATATCAAAGTTCACTACTTTGACCTTTGCCTTCTCTTGTTTTTACGTCCACCTCTTCTAATTAATACGTATAAAACTAGCAACATTTGGGTAGTTGTTTGAAAGAGAAGAATGAAGGCATATGCATAATCCTAAACTGAATATCAAGCATCCTGATAATTTAGAGTTTGGTTACTCCTCTCATGTTTGGAAAACAACACCCACAGTGAAAGGCCACCTAACATACTTTCGTCCAGAAGGAAAGACACAGACACAGCTATGTGCTTAAAAGAGCTAAAAATATCCAAACATTTCTTAATTTTCTTTATTTGTAAGTAGAAACTCCTGGTTTTACTTTCTCCCAGTTCAAAGCAGAAAATATAGAGACATATATTTACACATACACATATAAATATATATATGTATACATCTGTGTTTACAAAGATGGATATGCTTTTTAATGGTCAAGTAAAGACAATCTATTTATGCTATCAAATTTTTAGTTTCAACATCAATATAAAGGCTTTATTTATATAGATATTTATGAACAATATTTTTAAATGGCAAATATCTATTAATCAATAATAAGATAGAAAGTCTCTGTTTTCAAAGAAATTATTTGTTACTTATTTGATGACAGCTGTCATCATTAGGAATTCAGCATATTAGAAGTTGCTCTGCTTCCTGGAAAATGAGAATTTTCATGTGTACTTTTGAAAAGCAAAGAGTCACAGAAACTTGCAAAGAAACCCTAATTGGAGTGGTAACTGTTAGTTGACCCATTAGGTTGAAAACGGAGGCATTAGATCTGCTTGGTTAACAGTATTTTTTTTTCTTTCTTTTAGACACAGGCACCATCAACACATGAAATATCATCCATTAAACCTCATCAGGTGTATATAATACTTTATATCACTTATTCAGAGTTAGCCATGATATAGCTATTTGCCAAAAATAAATACTATATATATAAGCTTTAGTTAGTGTTCCTTTACTAATTTCAAGACATTTTGACTTATAGCAATTATTGAGTAACCTATGCAAAAGTTGCCACAAAGCACTATAGTGACAATCTACACAATGGAGTAAAAGTTACAACTCTTGGTTTGTGTTTTAAATTAAAGGACTCTTCAATTGTTTACTTCCCACCTTTGTTCAAATTGAGCAATCTGTCAGCTTTGCTTAACGGTTGGGGGAAGATAGCCAAGGTAATATTATTCACAGAGGAGCAATCTCTATATATTCAGATCTCCCTCTCATATTTGTTTTAGGAAATGGAAAAGAATATATCCTGCATGAAGTCAAGGAGACAGACCACTCCAAAGCACGTGGGGATAGCCACCCTTAAGCCTATACTTCAGTTTAACAGAGAGGGAGGCAGCCTCTATTTCCTGTCTACACAACATCCAAGAGAGAGAGAGACCAAAGAGGTTTGACTCCATGCAGAGGGATTTTAACTGAGCCCACCTGAGTTGATAGTTGTACTTAAAGAAAAAAAAAAAGAATGATAGCAGCAGGGTGTAGTGAAAGAGACTCTCTCTCTCCCTCTCTTTTTTTTAAGCCAGATAGAATGGAAACTGAGTTTTATTGCTTACTAGTGAGATGACCTTAGCCAATCTCTCTTAGCCATCCTCCTTGTCTGCATAATGAGGAAAATGGAACTCATCTCACTAAATTGTGCACAGCAGTGAGATGGGGCACAAACAGTGCCAAGCACGGAGTAGGTACTCAAAGATAATTAGTTCCTGTCACTTTTCCTTTTACTCCTTGTAATTTCAATGTTTTTCTCCAAGATATCGGGGACTTCATGAGAGGCATAATTTCTGTCCTGTGTTTAAATGTGGAGGTTAAATTAAAGACATTAGAACAAATAAAGATGGCACTATCCAGTGTGCCTTAACCCCGTTCTCTTGCATGAGAGCCCCCTGAAAATCATTTTAAGCCATTCATGGAATCAAAGTTAACTGGGGAAATTGAATTCATTTATGCACTATAACTGATATCTTTGCCCTTCTACAACCCCTACGGCAATAATAGGAGCAAAATGTTTTAATATCTAAGAGAGTATTTCCAAATTATCATGGAGAAGCTAACAATACTTTGTGATCACAGCACATCGTGGTTTTTGATCCTATGAATGACAGCTGACTGAATGTCAGCAAGCAGAACTGAGCAAATTTGATGCTGGTGATAAAACACGGTTGTACCAACAACAGCTGTGCCATCCTTCAGGAGACTAGAGGAAGCTCTGGGTGACTGTTGAAAATGAGAAAGGAACTGTGCAAGCTGAAAAGCTCAGAAGCACTCAGATGGTTTGGTAACTTAGTTTTTGATCAAATAAGCCTTGTAAAAGATTATCAAAACAATGCCTGTGTTTATGGTAACAACATAGATCTTATTCTAAGCAAAGGCAGGAACTCAAGCCAATCCAGGGGATTGCTGAAGTCCCCAACAGCACAGCCTCCTGTTAAAGAATTCTGGGCTGATGAGAAGCCCTGATGTGTCCCCTCCATGGTTTTCTCATTAGAAGTGCCAGAAGACCCAGTAGCATATATACCTTTATTATAGTCTTCTGAAAACAAAATTTAGAGAGCAATGATTTAAAAAATGTTGTTAGTAGACTATACAATTAGTCAATGCTCTTATTAAGGTTAGACCCATAAGATTCTTAACTAGTGATTAGTTCCTTGTACCTCAGAGTAATTGAGCAAACACATGGTAAAAGCTGTTTTTAAAATTCTATCCAAGAACAAATATGTGATGTATGAAAACGGTCCTTTGTTACATTGACAGTATAGATTCAAATATAGCTTCATATAATAAGTATGTCAAGGTAAAGTCAGGAAGAGCATACACTGAACAGACAATTGAGGGTTCTTTTGAGAAAAACATTCAAATTTCTTCAGCTAGTGTACCCAACGGTAAATATATCCAAGACATAATTTATCTTTTTCTGAATAGAGTTGATGTTTTTGGTGGATACTGTTTTTGAATAAAAAGAGTGTCGTTAGACTGGTGGAAAACTTTTCAAAATTTTTCAGTTACACGAAGAATTGCATGAGGCATCCAGCATATTCAGTTTGGTCAGCAATTCAGTTAGTCCTTTGGCAACTGACTTGTGTTTTCTCTCCCATATGGCTCTGTTTTGAGAAGAATTATCTCATTTTCTAGCCATTCTCTTATCTCATCTGCAATGTCAATGATTCAAATAAAACATCTTAAATATGATGCAAATATGCAGAACTATTTCCCCTTCCAATTCTTAGTTTTTGCTCTACTTTTGTGTAATTAATTGGGAGTTAAAATTAAATTTTGTCTTCTTGTTTTTTATTTTTATTTTTTTGGTGAGGAAAATTCACCCTGAGCTAATGTCCATTGCCAATCTTCCTATTCATTTGCTTGAGGAAGATTAGCCCTGAGCTAACATCTGTGCCAGTCTTCCTCTACTTTGTATGTGGGACACCTCCACCTCATGGCTGATGAGTGGAGTAGGTCTGTACTCAGGATCTGAACCCGTGAACCTGGGCTGCTGAAGTGGAGTGTGCTGAACTTTAACCACTCAGTTACAGGGCTGGCCCCCAAATTACATTTTAAACAGGAAGTCAGAATTAAAGATGCCTAATTTTACCATCAGCTCAACTGAACAAAGGTTTTCTTTTTTATGTTAACAAGCATATAGCATGGATGTCCGCCAGAGACTCACCCCAGCAAAAATATTTATGTATCTCTTTCAGAGGAATGCTTCGGAACAGATTTGTTTAGGCTGGTGGCCTGGGGCAATTGAACGAGCCCTGTCTCTGGAGATGCAAATTCTAATTCTGATTCTGTCACTAACTGGTCTGGGATTTTTAGACAGGTAATGTATCTTCTGGGCATCAACTTTTTTGCCAAAATGAATGAAAGGGATATCAGGATTTCTAAGATCTCTTCTGGTATGTGCAAGTACTGCCATACCTAAGAATAGGGGCTCTTCTTGGATCAAAGAATTATTGAACTTTCCCCCAAATTTATCAATGTTATCATTAGGCCCACATCTGGGGCTTTATTATTTTTTCCCCCACAGAGGTGTCAGATCCCCTTTCTTTTTTGGCCAAGAGTAGGGCAATTTTTTCTCAACTCTCTTCCTGATGGTTGTTTACTTCATTCTTTTCCCTTTTTACTAGGTTTCCTTCACTTTATTTCTACTTTGATATCTTTTAGAGCCCATTTTTAGCACACTTCATCCCTGTGACTGCTGCTAAATCTAAAGTAGTATTTTATAGAAAAGAACCTGAATACTTTTCCAGTGCTCTATTTCTGCCTTATTTGTTTCAACTCTTCTTATTTGACCCCCCACTAGAATGTGCTCAACAATTAAATGTGTTTTTGGTTGCTACAGTGTGTTGAGACCCGGCCTTTTCTTCTTTGCCTTTTTTCTTTCTCTTTAAATATCCACACAACTAGTAGCTAGAAAGTTACTAGTATATGACTTTTTTTAAAAGTGTAGTTTTAAAAGCAGAAAATGAATCGAAACAATGTCCATATCTAGAATTGAATAAGCATTTGACTTCCTCACTTAAAATTTTTTCCACTGAGTCAGATTGGGAAAAAACATTATGCGGTGTCGAGATCAAAATCCTGCCATCAAGGAGTATTACATCAACACTATTTCACACTGTTGGGTAAACACGCTTGTGGTCCAGCGGGATTTCACCAAGGTGATAACTTTGTGTTTCTGAGGTCTTCTAGCTATAGCAACTCAAGTAAATTTTTTTTTTTTTTTTGGACGAAGAAATAGCAAGTAAAAGACCAGGTTCTCATTGATTTTACCTACTTGTGGGCTGAAAGAGTTAGTTATTAACAAAAACAGTCATCCTTAGTATCAATGTGTTTCCCCAAATACTTCTGAACTCATTTCCGGTTACCTTTAGATGGCATGGGGAAACTTGCAGGCTGAATTCCAGCATAAGGGGAAGAAGCAGGCAATTTAAAAGGCCACCAGGTGCTGAAGAAGGACTCCAATCCAATGTTGGACTGTTTCCCTGAGTTAACTGTTGCTGTCTCAAATATTGTGATTTAAAAAAAAAAATCTTCCATTCAAATGTTAATAATTTTGAAACTTTTAAACAACCCTGGAGAAATATAGTCACCAAGTTCACTGTCATTTTCACAGTGTCTAACGGGTTTATTAGATAAAAATATCAGTTGCTCTTCAGTCTTCATAATATTTTTCAAATTTCCACTTTTGATTTGGCTTCACTGGGTCACAAGCAGCAACTTTCAGGGTCTTCTGAGAAAGATTTCCTTCCAAGCATAACAACTGGTGATAGTTTCCAAAAACAATGTGGTTCACCTGGAGAGAAAGGGAACCTGGGAATGAGCAGTGGGCTGAATTGGACAACTGAGATGCAAAGAAATAGAGACCAATAAAAAAAGATAGTTTATTGTATTTTTGATTCCTTAGGAATTCTACTGAACTAAATTAATAACATAAACACAGGCTTTGGACAGTATTTTTTTCTCTGTCTCAAACTAGGTTCTCATACTTCTCTAAGCTACAAGACTTTTAGCTCCTCAGGAAACAAAAGATGAATTTTCTGATGATAATGGGTAATAACTGTATTATTTAAAGGAAATAATTCCAATTGGCATTTACTATATTTGATACCTGGCTCCCTCACTGATGGTGGTAAAGAAAAAATACACCATCACAAAAAGTAAGCTAGTTAATTTCTTAAGAATATGCCTCAGAATGTAAATTTGGAATACAACGTGTAATTAGAAAAAAGTCAAAGGTATTTCAAAGGGTGCAATTTTGCTTAATATTTATTGAATATCCTAGAAATGGTCGATAACCTACTTAGAACGTGTTCATGTTTATAATTTTTTTCACCCATCAATGCTCTCAATTATCCATGACTGTGACAAAGATAATCTTCATTATATATATATTGTTTTGAAATACTTAAAAAAATTGATCGAATAGGGTGACTTCATAATAATTTATTTTAAATATGCTCCTACAAAAACATCGCTCCCCTTGTAGGAATTTGGAAATGTGGCGATTGAGTATGCTCAAGGTTTTGTAAAGCAGCTGGACTTGAGCAAAAACATTCTGGATTATCTACAATGTTCTGCTGGTCGATTGTAAAGAGGTAACTAAATAACTCGTCCCCAGACATTTGATGTGGGAACCAGTGGTGGAGGAGCATTTCATGTCCCAATCACAGACACCACCTGTGAGAGTATTTCCTTTTAGATGGTCACAATCCAGTGCATTTGGGGAGGGCTGATCTAGAGGACATCTTTTAAATGCAGATCTAGAAATGTACAATTTTAATAACTCATTGGTATCCAGGGTCAAACTCACTACTACCCTATGTCCATCCCTGAAGTTCTCAATTACTAATGCTTTCTAAAAGAAGAGAGATGCTTCTGTGATTTATAGCCTTATTCACCATTTCTCTTGTTTTTTAACACACATATGTTTGAGCACTTGGGAGCTTTAGTACGAAAACTACCAAAAACTGAAAAAAAGGAAAAAGATGACTGTCAAGATATTCATCTCCATAACATCTAGCAGCATGAAGAGGGGAACCCAACGCAGAAGGCAGCTATGTAACATGTGACAATGTCGCAGGCACAAACAAGGTAGGGGAGCAGCTTTCTAACTTTTGCCATCTTAATTAAGTTATCTTCTTACAAATTGGCTTACCTTTTAAGGAGACCAAAATTGAGCCTATACAAATATCAGCTAATGAAGGCTTAAGTTCCGGGGCCAATCTAGCTGGTAAATAAGCCCTATGTGATTTAAAGACTGTCTCTTCCTAAACATTTTCTCATCAACCTGAAATTTTTTCTGGTGACAGATTCACTTCTGGAGATGAGGAGTGTGTTCTGATTCTCAATCTCTCTCTCTCCCCTTTAGCACAGGGTTAAGAAAGCAGAAGGTAAGATGTAATTTATTCAATAGATGTTTACGGATTTCCCCAACACTATGCAACATAAAATTAGCAGCTTATACGCTAATAATTTCTAATTTTTTGGTGATAAAATTATCACCAAAGAGAAAAAAAATTGTCCATAAGGAAATGAAATATAACAGGGAGGATCTATGGGGAGGAAGATTGGAGAATGTGTTACTCAGGTCCTGACTTTGATCCTGAGCAGGATGAAAAATGTCGTGAAGAGAATAGTCACTGGCTGTGACACCAAAAAGATTGAAAGCACTTCAAGGAAAAAGTGTGCTCATTTTGGGGCCGGTCCTGAGCAAAATGATGATCTCCATATACTCGACGCATTCAGTGGATTTGGTGGCCACGTGCTAGTAAGATAGTGGCAAATTTGAGAAGGCAGTCCTCAAATTATTTCTGCCACCCCAAGATCCTACACTAATGCTTATGGATTTGTACCCTGTTAAAATATAATTGGGAAAAACTGAGAGGACATTGAGAGTGAATAGGATAGAGCAAGTGTGTTCTAGTAAATATGAACAACTGGACCTCTGGAAAAAATCCCTTGATTGGTAGTGTGGGAGTGATACTCCCATCATGGCTGGTTTCAAGCTACCACTGTAGGGGGGCAAGTGCTGTACACAGTCAGCTCCTGCAAGCTGGTTGGAGCTGGCTCCAGCAGGCCCCTGAGAGCCTAGGTCTCTGGGATCCAGATGGCATGAGAAAAAGTCTCCCTGTGTGGAAAGGAGGCACAATGTGGAACCAGATTCATACTAGAGGGCAGGGCTTGTAGGAACCACACTGCTTCTTGCTTTCCTCATATACTCTCCTTATAAACTTTTCTGGTAACCAGTGAAAACCAACTGTAGCCACTAAGCCTGACTTTTGGCTTTAATGGACTGAAGCAAATGACTTTTAGAGACAAAGATGTTGACGGCAATATAACCCAAAGAACCTGGTGACTTCTATTTAAAATAACTGATTTGAAATAATGTTGTAAAAGAAAAAAAAGGACTTAACAATTAACAAAAATATCTGCTCATCTCTCTGGATGAACTTTTACACTGCCTCTACTGTCACAAACACATTTAAAGCTTCTGATTGAGGAAGCTGACAATGGGGGTTCTATGTCCTATTTAATTGAAAGTTGGATTTGTGGTAAAGAAGAAGCACAGATATTTTGCTTACCAGTTCTGGGTGAAAGACTGATGTTGATTTATGTAGCCATTTTAGCCCTTTGTTTCTGTTATCACAGAGGTGCAGCCTCAGGGCTCTGTTATCAGGGATGGGAGCTAAGCACCATTCCCCATGTTTAATAAGTCTTAACCAGGTGTAATTAAATTGTTGAAGCTGTGGGAGAAATGAATAGAGAAGGTCACTTCAGGCAGCAAACACAAGTAGGAGCCCGGTCAAAGGTTTCTGACAGCAGTGGTGAAGAACGTGGGCACCCTGGGCAGATGTTTTGTATTCAAATCCACTTTCAATTCTGATAGTGTGGGCATATTATTTACCCTGTCTAATCTCATTTTTATCATTTCTAAGTTGGAGAGCAATAGCGTTTATCTCAGAAGGTCGGGGTAATGACTGTCAAGTGTTTAGCACATGGTAAGCCCTCAATAAATGTTAGCTGCAATAATAAAAATTATTTAGTATAGTTAGTACTAAGATGCAAATGGATGTCATTTCAAGGGCTCTGAATCCCAGACAGCACTGGTGTTTGAGGTATTGGAGCATTCAAACCATCACATGATTAAGGCTCCAATTTTTAATGATTAAGCCACTGGGGCTATGGGGAAGTCCAAGTCACGGTCCTAAGTTACTTTGATGGAAATTATTATGCTTCTTTGCTGGACTGTCTAGACAACTGGACTCCTAGAGGCTGTGTTCTATTGTAGGAAAGGCTAAAGTCTTTCTTTGCCGACAGCACAAGGAATCATCAGGTTGCTGGGGTGTTCGCATCCTCCAGTTCATAGGAAGTGCTCTCAGAGAAGTCCAGTTTTAAGGAGTTGCCAATGTCTAAAATAAATACTGATTTGGGTAATGGAACGACATTTTCAATTTTTATAAATATTTTCTCCAGTTGTTTACAACCTAGTAATATCTACCTGGTCAATTAACTCTAAGGCTCTGGATCTGTGATCAATTTGTTTTTGCACCAATGTAAACATTTTAGAAAAAAATAGACTGTTGGCAAAATTTATCTGAATGGTTTCATCTGGTGAATCATTTATAATGTAATTGAGATTTAACTTAGATTATCAAGTGCATCATTGGGTTAGACCTCCTCACTCAAAGGGTAGTCCCTGGACCAACATCAGCATCACCTGGGAGCTAGTTGGGACTGCTGAATCTCAGCCCCACCGTGGACCTATTGAACGAGAACTTGCAATGTAACAAACTCCCCAGGTGCACCTTAAAATTTGAGAAGCATGGATGTGTGTCATCACACAAGGAATTTATGTTAGTACTAAGAGAAGTGAGATATTCCCTTGAAAAGAAACATCTCAGCTGGTTGAAAAGTTAATAACTAAGGAGACTTTTTATGTAAGGTGACGGATAGGGCATGATGGTAGAATCCTAGTGTTTTATTCCTTTTGAGGTTTTTTGGAGGAATGCTATAGTCACTGGCTTGGTATTAAGCCTTGTTAATTCTGCCTCACATAAGTTAACTTCCTTCATGTTTCTTTACTTTTTGTTACTTAAACCAAGCATAAGAAGCAGAAGCTAAATAGGAGTAATGAGACGAAAAAGAAGATGGGCCTCTGTGGAAGGCGCGGGCTGTGTAATTCAGACCTCTGCCTCCCAGCATCCCCTAGAGATGCAACAGTTTTCAAGATCAGAACTTGGCTTTTCCAATAAAATACTGGTTAATCAAGCACAGGAAATCACTAAAATGATGAGTCTTGAAGGATTGCATTATTTAATATTTTACTCTCTTTTCTAATTAAGAAAGAATTCCGTAGGGGCCAGCCCTGTGGCCGAGTGGTTAAGTTCCGGTGCTCTGCTTTGGTGGCCTAGGATTTCGCCAGTTCAGATCCTGGGTGCGGACATGGCATGGCTCATCAAGCCATGCTGAGGCGGTGTCCCATATAGCGCAATTACAGGCACTCACAACTAGAATTTACAACTACGTACTGGGGAGCTTTGAGGAGAAGAGTTAAAAAAAAAAAAAAAAAGAAAGAATTCTCTTAGCCTCAATTTTGTAATCCACGGCTGAATTACAGCAACAGAGATGACAAAAATGCCTTTTCTTCTAGTAGCACCTTTGAATTAAGATCTTAGAAATGAGATGCACTTGAAAATATAAGCAGCATCTCTAAGTTAAAGCAAAGAAATAAGTCTACACAAGCCTAGATTGTCATCTCAAAACAATTTCTCTATCAGAGTGATCTGCAATTTATGGGACTGAGTTCTACTGATGAATTGATGTTCCTGTGAGTCCTATTTGGCACCCATACTGTAACTGTCCCCACAGAATGAGAACAGGTGGGAAACGTATGTTGGAGAGGGAGGTGCCGTCACCCAGAGCTCAGCGCCAGCACTGTGGAGTCCCTGCTCTGTTCTCCCCGGCCCTCCTCCCTCCTCCAACCATTGTGCTCTGAGTTTGTGGGAGTTTTGCTGTCGGGTTTTCTACCATGGATCATGAAAGTGTGATTTGCATTACTTCCTTAAGATGTAGCAGAATGGGGAGGGGCAACTGAATCAGAAATAAAATTGCTCCCTTAGATTAATTATTTAAAAACATGTGCTGTCTTTATTTTCTGTATTATTTTATCTTTATATGTAATGTGTTACTTTTCACATTTTTGTCTTTATTCTGGTAGCAGTGAACATTTGTGGAGCACTCAGTGTCAGATATTGTTCTCCACACTTCATACATATTATCTAATTCGATCCTCATGCCAGCTCTAGGGTGGGCACTATTATTACTGCCATTTACCTAAACTTTAAGGAATTTGCAAAGTTAACACACTTTAACAAGTGATGGGGCCAGAACTGGGTCCCTGAAGGGGTTGACTACAGTACCTACACCTTTACTCCCTCAGTCGCTGTCTGTACATTTAGTGGTGGACCCTCTTAGCACCAACCTTATGATTACATAGAAGTTTAGAAGTGAGTTATTATTTCCATTGGTAAAAATGAATTTCTCAAGTGAGCGATGAAGATGTTGTACCCTGCGCCTGTCAATTACACCCGTACCAACTATCAGCTGCACCTCCTATGAGGGAGAAAATCCAGCTCAACATACCTTGCTGCTCCCGTCACAGTCTTCCAGAATGATGGTAGTGTTTTCAATGGAAATGCATTTACCCAAGGCCACATTAATAAGCTAGGAAGCAAAATATAAAACATGCATTCAGAAAAAATATTTTAAAGTAGAACAAGACATTCAGAAAACACAGAATATAAATATAATAAGGTTAAGAGATGGCTAAGTTAATAGCTTGGCATTACTTAGCACTACGATTTTATTGGTTGCTATCTCTAACAGAGACATAATGTAATCTTGCTAAAGTACAGCTTCAATCTGTCCATTTAGGCCTGTGATTCAGCCACAGAGCCAACAAACAGAAGCTTTTAATTAACCCTTGCCCAGAATGCTGAATAGAGAATGAGCAAAAGGTGGCATGAAAAGTAGTTATTTTCTTGTCTCAAGTTTGTCTGATGCATATATTAAAAGTCAATGCACATATGTGCAATTTAATCAAACCAACAGTTGTGGGCTGTGTTCCCTGGCTGACCCCTCCAAGCTATTTGACTGCTTAGGCACTGAATCATAGATAAGTTGAGTCCTTCAGGAACAGCAGATTCAGGCTGATTCCCTGTCAGAATCTTCTTAATGACTCAGGCAAGCTACAATTCATTACAGGAAAGTCATGAAAGTTGATACAGAGCCAAGTTTAAAGGCACTTTCTGGCAGGCACCCAGGTTTTTAATGGATTTACAGGGTCAAATATGGAGGCAGCTTTCTATAAGTCACCATTTAATGCAGAAAAATGTTGATTCCCTTGCCCCCTTTGACATTCTGAGCAGGGCTAACGAGATGGTGGGTTAACGGTGCGATTTAGACTTCTCAGATTTCTGGAAGAGTTGTGTAGAGCAAGTCTACATTCAGAAAGCCTCCTGTGCTGGGAGGTGGTAAGGTTTTTGTTGCCAGGGACATTATCTGTGGTCCTTCCTGTTTCCTGGTGCCTAACAAAGATCTCTAACTCTGGGGTGCTGTATGACTCAGGCTGTGTCGCTCACAGAGTTGCCAAACTTTGTAACAGTCTGCTCAGCGGCTTGGTCCTCATTTTTACATGCATAGCTTAGCTTGCAAGAACGTAAGAAGAATCTTAAGGCACTACAAAATGCAGGAAAATCTAAAAGCAAGAGGGAAATTTTCAAGTATTGGTAAGCAAGGGGCCAATATTGTAAGGACAGGAGAAAAACTTGGGCATGGATAACCAGAGTTGGAATTGAGGTCTTCTACATAAAGGTGGAAAACTAAAGAGTTAGACCCTCAATGGAACGGTGTACTGGGAAAAACAGTTTACCCATTAGTACAGAGAGATAACAGGGAAGCTAGATTCTCCCATGGGAATATAAAACTTTACGCCAACCTTAGCTTGGGTCAGAGATGCAAATTTGCACTGCTTGCATTGGATAGGAACCATGACAGACCATCAAAGCACAGAAAGAAACATAAAAATTGTACCAGGTTGGTTACTTCTGGTGTGGCTGGCAAGCAAAACAATTCTAGAAGATCAGAATCTCCAACAGAAATTCTCAAAGAAAGCTCTATTCACAATTTAAAATGAAAAATATGGGAGGAGACAATCCACGGTCAGTAAAGGAGAGCGGTCAGAATGCACAGAAAGAATCAATGACCATGAACGTCAGAGAGGAGATTTGATAGAAATGTACACAGGTAGAATAATCCTGGAGTTTAAAGAAGAAAGTGGTGTTCCAATTGTTCTCGGGGTCTTCACAGAGATCAGTATAAGCTCCTGTACTGGTAGATTATACAGAAAATATTCTCTCTTCAAATGGGTTTGGAAACCTCTGGCTTCAACACAGCTGAACAGGTTGTCCTACTCCAGAACTTCCAGAACCTTCTGGAAGTTAACCTTTAGTTCTCTGCTCTAAGAGGCAATGTAGTGTGAAAGTTTGCCGAACGTATTTGACCACGGAATCCTACTTTTGTCATCACAACTAATAACATTGCCTAGAACAGTGTTTGGGAACCCCTAGTTTCACTGATTTCTTTGCATTTATTTTGCACAATACCTTCTTCCAAGCACTCAAAGACAGCAGAAGGAAAGAGAAAACTTTTCTATCCTTTGCCTTCACTTCATGTGAAGATCTGTTTCCCTTCTCTCTGACGGGAAATTACTGTAGAAACTGCTTTTCTTCATATAGAAATAATCTATGAAGTGCCAAGAAATTGTTATTCTTTATCTCATTGTGGATTGTTTTCAAAATTGATTTTTCATTTTATTTTTAAAGAATTGTATCCATGCTTTTGTTGTAAGCCATTGCAATCTTTTTTTAAAAAAAAAAAAAATCGGACAGTATATAAATTTTAAATGATCTGTTTTGAATTATTTTATTTTCCAACTTAGGAGGTGGGTGTCCACAGTTTATCATAGGATTGTTAAACATTAGCTTATAGGCTGTTTGCTAAGAGTTAAATCCAATATAAATATATAATATAAATTATTTGTGACATTATTTTATTCGTATCAAGTATATTTGTTTAAATAAGAAATGATTTGTTCTCACTCAAAAAAGATAAAACTTTCAATGGATTTAGATTCCTGTGTGTAGGTTGAAAGAAGAGAAAACAGGAACAAGAAACAAAAAATTGTGGAGTTTATTTTCTTGGAACTTTTGACGATTGTCTATCCAAAATAATGATCTAGATAATCTCACTCTGACTTGCCTGGAGAAAGGTCCCATTTTTTTTTTTAAATGGTGATACTGCTCCCCCCTGGCTCCTTAGAAGGAAGCAAAAGACATCTTTATTTAAATTTGTCTAAGGAAGGCATCAAACAGTGAGGTAATAGAAGGAAAGGACTTGTTAAAATCATTAAAAAGATATTTTCTGCATTTTGATATATTATAGCCCAGACATCAGCAGACAGCTGTCTCATTTGGAGAACGCTTCAAAAATGTCCTGGGCAGGCTTAACCCAAGTCAGCCTTGCAGAGGAGGCGAAAGGTAGTTTTTTAGTTCCCTCTGGTGGCTAAAGTTCAGTAATGCTCTTGCTGAGATTCTGTGCTGTTGAGAGGGAAAAGTTACTACAACGAAAATTTCTTTCTTTTTTCCCTGCTCAGGAGACAGAATTTAAAAATGTAAATTTATTTTACAGACATGTTATTTGAACAGTGTATAAATCCAGGGTATTCTTCCTAAAGAGTTACGTGGGATAAAATATCAGGTCGAACCACCTGAAGTAGCTGCTGTTCTATCTTGATCTATAAAGAGGGCAATTTTATGATATATTATGTTACATACAAACAGGTCACATAGACTTATTTGTCAGCTGAATTTTATAAAAACAGAACAAATTTTCGGACTAGTTTCCTCTCTTTCACACTCTTCCCAGATCTCCCTCTACCGTCAAGGAGAATGGCTTTACTAAATCCTTGTCATTGGGAGATTTGCTAGGCAGAGAGTGGTTGGTTTGTACAATCCACCTTGTGGGGAGAACTGAAGAAACTTGGCCTAAAAGAGCAGGTTGACTGATGGTCAAGTCTGAGAACCCCTTGCATGAAGAAAAAGGAATCTCTGAAAGAAAATGAAACAAGACTGGGAATCTTTATGAGTAAAATTAAATGAGAAATAAAACAATAAAAGAGAGTCAAAAATATGCAAGCATGGGGAGGAACTTGAGGTCAAAGCTTGACTAACCTCCCTAAACCCATTCTATGGTAAATGTCCTCATGTCTTGCCATCTTCTTCACATTAGGCCTCACTCCTAGAGTGGGTTTGAAATGCCTTTCATCCTTGTTTTCTTCTTAGCTTTGTACTACCATCCAATCTATCTAGCTTGGCTTCTTCCCTTTTGGTATGTTACCTTGTGCCCTGGAACTTTCTCTGCCATTGTCTGACAATATTTGTTATTTTCAACACCTCTTTGAAATCTGTAAAACTCTAGTTAAATTATGGCAACCCATTGCTTAACCCTACTCAATAACTTCCTATTACGTTCAGAAGAATGCAAGCAAGAGTAAGAAAGAAATACATAAAAGAAGAAAGAAAGAGAGAGAGAAAAAGTAAGAAAGAAAGAGAAATAAAGAGAAAGAAAGAAAGAATGTTTGCTCTGCCTAGAAAGACCTACATTATCTTTCTCCTTCCTCCCTCTTCAGCTTCATCTGGTACCATTCTTCTCTCCCTCACACCCTGACAACAACATTCATCTAATTTCCTGTTCTTGATTGCCTCAAACTGTCACCTTAGAGTTTTTGCACAAGGGGCATCCTCTGCTTAGAGCTCTCTGCTTTAGTGCTTGACTGACAGACACTTCGTCTCTCAGGCCTGGCCTTCAAAAGCCCTCAGGTGGTTACCCTAACTTAGAAGGATTCATCACTGTGGCCAGTTCCCTAAACGAGAGCTATTATATTTTTTATTTACACTTTACTAGCTTATTTGTTTATTATCTTTCTTCCCTACTCAATTTTAAGCTTCACAAAGAAGGGATCAGGTCTACTTAATTCATCACCCTATAATCCAATGCTGAAACACTGCCTGGTTTATTGATGCTCAATGTGCATTTGCTGAATTAATCAATGAACATGACTGCCTGGAAGCCTTCCACAAGTTTACCTATATTTAATCCTCAATCACGTTTTGTCTCATCTGCACTCATATTTGGTGTTTATTCATAACGTAATAAATCATTCTTTCCCACACATTTTCAAAAGAGCTTTGGCATTTTGTTTTTTTAGAGAGATATTTTAAATTGCTGCTTGAACTTACCACACCACTAGCCCTCACAATGGGAGCCTTCAAGTCTGGAAAAACATTGTCCAAGTACCACTTGAAACTTTTGCATTTTAGCTTCTTTCGAAGCTCCCGTTGTTGGGTGAGGTTTCCGACATCTAACCCTTGGTCTATGAGGTGATCCCCATGGCCATAGAACAGCTCCTTGTACTCGTCAAGCCAGACCTCAGCAACCCGCACCAAGTTCCGCTCCACTGTCTTCATCCGGTCTTTGGGGAAGGAATACGGATTGTCATTTCTGAATATGTGACCCACTCGGGAACAGGGAATGATTTCAATTTCACCACCACACATCCACACCTGGAATAGTTTGATGATAAGCATCAATTATCAAATGATTGTCCACAATTCATGGGCAATTAACAACAATAAGAAACCACCTGGTGACTCCCCGCCCCCAGCCCCGTTTGAAGTAGGATTTTTCACTTCTAAAATCTTTTTCAATAGAAAATTAAACTCACAGGTTTATTTAGTTTTATATATTGCTGAGGATCATTTTAGGATTTGTAAAATAGATATATTTTTCCTTCCATACCCCGCAGGGTAAATCCTTTTCGCTAAAGACATTCTCACAGAATTCCAATGAATAAAATACATAACATGAGTTCCTGCTTTGGTTGAAACAGGGAAAGGAGTATATATTTCCATTTTTTCAACCTTCCTTTCTCACATCTTGGAATGATCCATATGATTTGTGGAACACAACTCGAAAACCATTTTTCTTGATCAGGAGCTCAAGGTAATACCCCTTTTACTATATACCACCCCACTCCATGGGAGAGCAGTTGCTGTTTGAACACTCCCCAGTATGGCTGCTGTTGCGACTTTCTTGGGTGTTAACCAATGATTGCATAAACACCCAGAGTTGTCTGAGGTGCCCAAAGTTGTGCACTGGCCCCTGTTGGTGGCCTGCTCTAGAGGCACTTCTTGTACTTCTGTTGCTTGGACTCTCCAAGATGACCCATTACTGAATAATTTCATTACTCCCAATACATTAGAAAAATGTTCTGGGAGAGTTGTTTTGCATCAAGTAAGAATCCCATAGCATTTACACTGAACGGCAGCTATTTCCTCTATATTCAGAGGCAGAAATAGTATTGTGAAATATTAAGGAACTCTAGTAAATTTCATGAGCGCTGCTGATTCTTCCAAATTCAATATGGGATATGAAACCATTAATCCAGAAGCGTTGAAATTTCTGCGAAATTTCCTCTCAGAGGCAGTCGCAAATGTGATTGTATTAGTAAAATGAAACCATTTAAAAATGATAAACTCTTAACTGTAAACAGAATTTGAGAAACACCTGGTAATACCTTGAATGAGAGCTCCATATTTTCTCCACCCCAAACATCAAGCCCAGGGTCATAAGTTCCAAGTTCAAAAAAGTAGTTTTTATCGATAGAAAATAATCCACCTGCCATGACAGGGCACCTACAAGAAGAAAAGTTTGTTTTTTAAACTTGCATGTCATGGGAGCTCAACTTTTAGAGTGGGTCCCCTGTGCAGTTGTGATGGAGTTAGGAGGCATTTCAGAATAGCTACCAAGTACAGGGAGATGTTGGAATGGAGTCACAAAGAGCATGTAAGTGATGAGTTCCCTGGTTCATGAGGACAGAGCTTGATTAGGGTCAAAGATGGGGCCTGGACCTAGGATTCTTATTTGTCCTTTACTCTCTGACACAAACTCTCCAGAGATGTTATTTTTAACAACACTTATTTAGTGCTAAGGGAGTACCAGGCACTGTTGTAGGTATTATATATATATATAAAAACTCATACTTCACAAAAATCCCATGAGTGTGTACCATTAAGAAACTACAACATAGCCAGCCCAGTGGTGCATTGGTTAAGTTCGCACCTTGCACTTTGGCAGTTGGGGGTTCACTGGTTCGGATCCTGGGTGTGGACCTATGCATGGCGTGTCAAGCCATGCTGTAGCAGGCATCTCATGTATAAAGTAGAGGAAGATGAGCACGGATGTTAGCTCAGGGCTAATCTTCCTCGAAAAAAAAAAAAAGAAAAGAAAAGAAACTACAACATAGAAAAAGTGAGAAACTTTCCCAAGGCCACGGACTAATATGATGTACATCTGGGGTTTCAAATTTAGGTGTTCTGGCTTAATGCTCTGTTCTCGCACTCTGCTATACTGCCTCTATCGTAGACAAGATTTACTGACAGCTCATGTGGCGAATACTTTTTTTTTTAACAACTGATGCCAATCTTTTTTTTTTCTTCTGCTTTATCTCCCTAACCTCCCCCCCCCGTACACAGTTGTATATCTTAGTTGCAGGTGTGAATACTTTTTAAAACCCTTTATATATATTATCTGATTTAATTCTCAAAACAGTCTAAGAGGTAACTTAGTCTATAAATTAGTCTTAATGTAAAAATGAGGAAACAGATGTTTCCTCAACAGGTTGTCATTTTTTAAAGCCCAGACTACTAGTAAGTAGTAGAGTTGAGATTTAAACCCAGAGTCTGACTCCAGAGCCTTCACTACTGTTATTGATCATGGAGGATAGACACGACATTTGAGTCAGCAGTTAGGCAAGGCGGTAATCACCCCCCATGGTGATCGCCACTGGTGGTCAGCCAGCTGAAGGTGGTTTGTGTGGAGGTCCTGCCTTGTGTTCTGGGTATACAGCAATCTCAAGGGTAAAGTAATTCCTGCCCCACACCTACCTCCCTTGCCCCACCATTTATGTACATATTTGATCTGTATCCCAAATGTCCTTTCCAGACTAGCCAGCATGCATTCTCTTCCTAACCTTATATTGAATATAATCTGAACTCAACCACTACATTGACTCTCAAAATGGGAGTCTGAAAAAGGCAAAGAGTTTCTTTAGGTGCGGAATTAGAGCAAGAGTGTCAAATTCAGGCAGATCTGAGTTTGAATCGCAATTTCTTCTTTAACTAGCTGTATATCCTTGGGAAAATTACTTAACTCTTTTACATCTCAATGTCCTCATCTCTATAATGGGAATGCTACCACCTCTCTCCTAGGGTTGTAGAAAGGGTTAAATGCATACGGCTTAGTAAATGATAGTACTCCCACTTCACTTGCCAGGAGTATCAATTCTGAAAGCATCACCTGGCAAGGAGGAGGCCTGCCTTATCGAGGGGTAAGTTCGGGGAAGCCATGCTGCAACGCACAGTCTGGGCTCCAGCTTCCTCCTGGGACTTGCTGGCTTGCATCTACTCAAGTTCTCTCTCCAAGAGGAAAGCTCAGGACTCCTGCTGCTCTGCCTGAAGCTGGCTGTGTGCTAGTCTCATAGATCTGGACTCTGGGAGAAATTTTAGGAAGCTTCCACTTTGGCTTCAGTTCTAAGCTGTGTTCTTCAATCCTGCTTCTCCAGCAATAAAGCCCCAATTTTAATTCATATATGGCTTCTGTGTCTATTTCTCAATTTATTCACAGAACTTGGCATCCCTCCCATGGAAGGAGTAGGATTAAACTCGAAAAGAAAATCCTAACAGCAGCTATCATTATAATGGTATTTCTATTACTATTATTTACTCTTTTAATTTTCACTCATGTAGACTTTCATATTATGTGTGTTTATACAGCATTTATGCAGCATATTCAACTAGCTTATGTTTCTTAGGTTGTAAATCCCAGAGAACAGGAATAGTATTAGCGAATTTCTCTGGGTTCAGGGCTGAATAGGGAGAAATTGACCATTTGAAAAAATGCATTTTGTTAGCGGAAACTAATTTCTCAGGAAAACTTTGCTTTTGGTCATCTATTGGCTAGAACTGTAATTCTTGACGCTCTGTAGAATGACAGAATGAAAACATTTGTTTGTGGAATTGCTTCCTACGCCTTTATAAAAAGATACCTGACTGCTTCCTAATTTTAAATTTCACACACTTACCTTATTATGTCAGTGTCTTTAATTCTGTTTTTTGCAACAATGTCTGGAGGAATTGTTCTCCAACCAAAGTTCATGGGCCACACAAAGACGCCTCTTTGAAAGTTGTCCACTGTCATGTAACTGATCCAGGAAATAAACCAAAAGTGCTACCTGAGATCATATCCATATACTTAATCAACCCGACGCCATGTTGTGTTCAAATGAATGAAAGAAGTGCTTATGCATATGATTTTAGATCATCATAAACTTTTAAATAATATTTCAAGAAAACTTATAAGTACAATTTTCATTAGTGACTAAATGGCTGGATTGCTTACTTTTAACTTATAACGTTTTGGTCACTTTTCAGGGGAAAAAAACAATTTAGGAGCATACACATATTTCCCAAAAAAAGAAGAACTAATATGAAGGAAAATAAATATCTTGGAGTTCAGCTGAACAGAAAGAGGAAAGAACTGGACAATGAGTGTTAGGATTTACTGGTCTTAAGGATTGATGATGATTTGATTGATGATCAAATAAATTATTGGATTGACCTTCTCTTGTCCCAAGATATCTATCACATATTTCTATTTATTTAAATAGATAAAGTATGTATTTCTTAGATTTGCACCCCACATGTTAATAATATGACCAGGTATTTTCCGTTGCTGCTGGTTAAAGACTCAGAAGTATCTTATGGAGTATGACAATATTACCTCATATCCTTATCATTGATGACTTCGATTACTGGACAGGCTACTTTCTTTCTACTTAAATAAACTCTCTCCAGAAGAGGTTCCAACCAACCAACGTTACATTCCACGTGAGAATCTAAGAATGTCAACACATCACCTAGAGAGCCAGAGGAAAAACAATCACTTGAAAAAGAGACCTACTGAGTGTGTGTACTTCATGTTCGAAGGTCTCAGAGATAGCTCCAGAAATGTGGTTGTAAAGGCGGTAGTATTTTCTTCTCACCAAATTCCTGATCCCTATAATTTCATTCTATAATGAAGTGAAAGAAATTTTGTTTCTAGCCAGTGCTGTGGGGCAAGCAACATTTACGTTTGGAAAAAATTGATAAGCCACTTAGAATGGGTAGCCAAGACTGTGAAGGGAATATTTAGTATTAAAGGTGGTTGCTTATGTCCCTTCTAGGGAGGGTGGGTGCCATTAACTCGGAGGGTGGAGAATGAGGACTTCGTTTGGCAGAAAACCAAGAGGAATTTGAGATTCTAAGTTTGACCTTAGGAATGATGAAGAGGAAAAATCTCTCCACAACATAGTGGTGAAAAGAAATTAAGGTGGAGGACTCAGCAAGACATCGAGGACGAGGTGTGTTAAAAGGGTCACAGGGGAGGGGAGAGGGAATAGGGAGTTGTTTAATGGATAAAGAGTTTTACTTTTGCAAGATGAAAAGAGTTCTGGAGATTGATTGCACAACAGTGTGAATGTTCTTCAGAGTACTGAACTGTACACTTAAAAAATGGGTATGATGGTGAATTTTTTGTTATATATATTTTATCAAAATTAAACGAGTTACAGGAGGAAAAAAAAAAAAGGAAAATTGGAGGCCAGAAATACTTATTAAGTATTCCTTTTTTTTTTTATTAGGTGTGTGAGGTAACACTCTCTCCCCAATGAAAATCTCAGTAGCATCTACATTGTTCCAAGTGATTTTATACAAGTAAATTTTGTGTGTGTGTGTGTGTGTGAGAGAGAGAGAGAGAGAGAGAGAGATTAATAATAACCGAAGGAATCTGAACCCTGGCCAAAATCTTATGTGTGATCTTTCAGGCCCAACCATAGACCGTAGACAATTGCGAAGACTTACCTGGCAGGCCTCATGCGGGAAAGCTGCTCTCCCCTCCAGGCTTCGTTGGCAGCCAATACACTGCAGACTCTGAAGGGAGTTGCAGTCAAGGCCTCAGGTCCTCCCTGCCCTTGGGCTGGACGTGCTTTTACCACATAGCTGCGTTCCTAGCCCAGCTTCCTCCATTTGAAAGCCCCTCTCAGGCTAAGATCTCTGCCTCTCCTTATGGAGCTGGGTGGATCTTCAGGACATTTTTCTCCACTCTGACTCAGTATTCAGTACTTTCCCACATCTTCTCCCTTTCCCTCATCCTGGCCCCCTGGGGCCATAAAACAGGAGCGGACTCCTCAGGCAGTGAGATGATCCTCGTCTCGGCTCTGATCCACCAGCCCATTTTTCTGTGGAACGGTGGAACACTGGGGGAGTCAGAGCTTTCTTCTGTTTTGCTTCTTACTTATACGATTGCAGGAAGTTATTAAAGACTTGACTGTTATTTTCTTTTTGGCTCATTGTTTTAATTGACAACTCTGACACCTGGCTGTTCTTGTCACCTCCTGACAAATCTATGATAACATCAATTATCTTCAATTACTCCATGCCAGACACTGTTCTAAGCATTCCACACGGTCATCTTATTTAATCCTTACAACAAACCTGAAGTATAGGTCTAATTTTTATTCCCATTTAAGAGATAAGAGATATCGGTCTAAGTTTTATTTCCATTTAAGAGGAACAAAGAACTTAAGCAACTTTTCCAAGGTTGTACAGCTAAATGGGAGGCTGGTATTAGGAAACAGTTCATTCAATTGTTCATGTCTCGGTGGGGGGGGGGGGGGGGGATCCAGAAAGAGGCAGAGCTATGAGTATGAGAATGCTTAAAGTAAAAGCAGAAGATAGCAGCAGTCAAAGAACAAGGTGAAATTAGATATGTGGATGACAGATTACGATCCACTGAGATCTGTAAGCAACCTCTGAATTAACGGAATTCAGCATCTTATTAATTATCCGATCAACAATGGAAGTTTTGCATGAAAGTAAAGGGACTGATCTTAGCCAAGGTCTTAGCCAGGATGGGGGTTGTTCTTAAGAAGTCTCTTTAGATGCAACCAGGCTGTGCTACGCAGAGGTCACCTCCCACCCCAGTCCCCTAGTCTGGGAGACAGCAGTTACATCTCCTGATCATGGGGGAGTCCTAGTTTCAGTGAATTATAGCTTGTTTGATAATGGAAGGTCATTTTCTCCTAAGGGTGTCCTCTTACACAGCCCTCTTTCTGTTGTGGGAAGGTTTGCAGGGGTCATCTAGGTGTGAAGGATATGTGAGCATGGTCTGCCAAGGTCCCACTTGGCTAGTGGTCTAGTTTCTTTCACCACTCCTACTCCTGGTCCATTCAGACTCAAGAGTTTACAGAGCAGAGTCTGCTAGACTCTGTCGCTATTCCCATAGCAGGCTTGTAGGGTCAAAGGGGCCTGGATCAATTTCCTCAGTCTCCAGGGCAGCAGGATGGGTCCCCAAACTTGCATTCACTTCCCACCTGGCCCACATCCCCAAAAAGGTTCTCATTCACTTGCAGCCAGGACCAAAGGGAAGCAGCATCTGTCCAACACATAGGCTGGAATTCTATATTGTTTTATTTTGGGAGAGAAGAGAATCTTCGCATGTATGAATGTCATTGCTCCACTTTCAGACATTTTGTTTGTAAGTAAGATCTCAGAAATCAGAACAGGGAGCTGTCTGTGTAGCTGACTCTGGATGGGATTTCTGATTGTTCTGGATACTGTATGTGGACATTTTACACACTGTTCCTGACCCTGAGAGGCTGAGAGGGATGTGAAATGAACACAGGATTGAAGTCACACAGAACTACCTTCATCCCAGCTTCCTTTCTCTTAGCCTCACTGGATAAGTTACTTTTAACCTCTTTGAGCCTTACCTTATGGGGATATTTCTAGGATCTACCTAATACCTAAATTCCTAATAAATGGCAAGTATTGTATACTGTTTTTCAATGAGTGTTTAAGTTATGGCTCAGAATAATTAACTCAATCTTGATTGCCACATGGCAAGTTTTTCTGTTTCATTAGAGTAGGTCCAATAATGCTGGACTGTTTGCAATGGGTTTCATTGTGGCTTATTTATTTATTTCTATTTTGGTCAACTCAGAGCAGCTTAATGTGTCAAACAGCTTTGGCTTCTTTTTGAACATGGACCCCCGCGTATATTTAGCTGACCAGGTTGGGATATTGCTGCCAGCACCAATTAATGCTGGAGTGTTGTGTTTAGGGTTCCTTGAGAAATGTGCACCTGGCTCGCCACTTACTTTTACATAATGATTTATAAGTGAGGCTAAGGAAACCACCTGTTTTATCTGCAGCAGAAACAAATTGTAGAAATTCACAGAAGGACTGTTGCTCTTCAGGAGACCTCAGAGTTGGCCAGGAGCTAGATGTCACTTCTCGTCCATGTACTTAAAGTTAGCCAACTGATTTTTTGTAATGCTCACAGCAATGTCAAGTATTTTGCTAAATGCCATGTCATGAAGGAAATGAGAATCTGATCTCTACTCTGACTCTCTGGAATGTACGTACTGTTGAACCTGCCCAACTTCGGGCTCCTCTTGACAGAGCAGCAATTCACTCAGTGCATTCAATATTAGCATGAGATCCAGGTGGTCGGCTTATTCCTGTGGATCTCAATGACCTCATCTCTTTTTACTTCTGTTGCCTTCATATTGGGACTTTCCCTAGAGATCCATTGACCTTGGCTTACCCTTCAAATTTTGAAATTCTACCTGGCCTCTCTAACTCCTCATTCCCAGTAAACAACTGATTGGACCTGATCTTTTTGTCTGAATCAGATTCAGATGAAGAACTGTCACGCCCTAGAACCTGAATGCACAGTGGACATTGCTAGTGGTCAGAGAGTTACTGTTTTGTCCTTATTATCTTGTAGAAGACTTTTTAGACTTTCAGAGAGCCTAATAATGCTATCCTAAGGGTAAATCTTTAGGGAACAATAGCTGTCAAGGCCTGTCAGATCCTGGGTTCAGATTCTTATCTTTGATTTCTTTGTTTGGCTAAGGCATTCTACAGCAAATTTCTGCCCTGATACCTTTGCTGATTTCTGTACAGAGATCCTTTAGGCCCAGAGAGTCTCCTACTAGGCTCTACTCATGAGGACTGGGGAATGCCCAGGGGAACTTTAGAAGGATTACCCAGGCTGGTCAGCCCCGCTCAGTGATGATCCCTGAATTATATCCTTGGCTAAAGCTGGTACAGGATCCTGAATCCCTTTGAATTCCCAATAGGGGTTGAGCACACTTCAGGGCAGCTGGGTGTGTCCTTAGGCAAGACTGTTATTAATCTCATCGAGATATCCCTTTCTGCTTCTTTCCAAACTCAGGCACTGGACCTCCACCAATGCTGCTCAAAGTGTGGGCCATAGACCCTGCTGTCTACAGGGAGGTACGAACAGAAACTGAGAACATATGTTTTAAAACTTTATAGCAGTTTGCCAAAGTAACTTATTGTCTATTTCATATATGTGCATATATAACATCATTATATATATTATATACACACATATACATATGTATATGTTGTACATAGTAAAATTACGTATTTATATACATAGATATACGCAAATATAATTATGCATATATTTATGTGTTATGCATATATCTATTCATAAATCTATGGATCTCTAGGGAAGGTCCCAATATGAAGGCAACAGAAGTAAAAAGAGATGGGGTCATTGAGGTCCACAGGAATAAGCCAACCACCTGGATCTCATGCTAATATTGAATGGACTGAGTGAATTATTGCTCTGTCAAGAGGAGCCCGAAGTTGGGCAGGTTCAGTAGTACATACATTCCAGAGAGTCAGAGTAGAGATCAGATTCTCATTTCCTTCATGACACGGCATTTAGCAACATACTGTTTTTTTTTTTTGAGGAAGATCAGCCCTGAGCTAACTGCTGCGAATCCTCCTCTTTTAGCTGAGGAAGACTGGCCCTGAGCTAACATCCATGCCCATCTTCCTCTACTTTATATGTAGGACGCCTACCACAGCATGGCGTGCCAACTTGTACCATGTCCGCACCCAGGATCTGAACCAGCGAATCCTAGGCCACTGAAGCAGAACATGTGCACTTAACCACTGCGCCACCGGGCTGGCCCCAAGCAAAAAACTTGACATTGCTGTGAGCATTACAAAATCATAGATATTTGCATAAATATAAACATAATTACATATATGCATAATGTAAACATAATTATAAAATTATGTATATATTTATATACATAGATATATGCAAATATAATTATGCATATATCTATGATATTTATGCATATATCTCTATTTTTTCCCAATTCTCTTTTAGATAATTTATTTTTATTATAATTTACAAAGCATAGGTCTACAAAAATTTGGAAATTAGAAAAAAAGTTCTTCTATGAGAAGCAACTCTTCACTACATAGTGGCGAGCAACTAAGATGCGCTTAGCTGGGGCTTTCCACACTAAGAGTTGTGACTCTTTAGCGAGTCATTAAAACAGCTGAGTAGGATTGGCCAGAATCTAAAAAATAAATAGAGTAGAAAAGAAGATAGTAGAATTCATGGCACACGTTATTTCTTGAAATGTTGACGGTAGTTTTTCGTGTAACCTATACATGGATGGGGTTGTGAAGTAAAATTTATTTCTTAACATGGGTCATGGTCAAAATAGTTTGAAAATTACTCAGCTAAAACTGAACTAATGTGCTCAAGGGTGTTAATGAATGACTGAGACACAAATATACATTTCTGCATTTGGATTTACTAAATTCAAAGAAATCATTTTACGGTTGTAACCAAAAATGCTGAAGCAGACCAATTAGGCGACTCTTTGATCAAGTTCATTGCACTCCATCTGAACACAGCCTCCCATGTTGTCTACCAGTTTAGACTGTTCTAGAGATCATTAACAGCGTGCTTTGTGTTCCACGCCGGCAGAGAGAAATTTTTTAAGAAGCACTTTTTTGGTTCTGTGCTTATCAGCTTTCTCTACATGGAGTCTAATTTTCATCTCAGACCTACCTGGACGAAATCTGAACTCAATTGCAATCCCAAACCTGTTCCTCTGCTTATGGCCCCACCACCCATCAAATCATTCAGATTCCAATCCTAAGCTTCTTTTTTGATTTTTCCCATTGTTATTCTCTTCACATCTAATCTGATGGTAACTCTTGTAGGCTCCATGTCCACAATACATTCTGAATCTGACCACTCCCTCCACGTGCCCTGGCACCTTCCCAGTGCCTGGACAGTTACAGTATCCTCCTAATTGGTCTCCCTACTTCCTCTCTCATCTCCCTAATATCTGTTCTCTATGAGGTGGCCAGAGTGAGCTTTTAAAATGAAGTTAGACACTTTTATTCTTCTCTTTAATGTCCTTCACTGGCTTCACATTATACCAAGAATAATGCCTGCACTTCTTAAATGATGCATAGAACTTTACAAAAGCCTGCCTTTACCTTTCTCTCCAAATGAACCTCCTACCACTCTCTCCATGATCGGCACCAATTAGCCATAATAAACTTCTTTCTTTAACTTGAATATACAGAGCGTGTTTCTGCATCAGGACATTTGCAATTCTTGTTCCATTTGCCTGGGAATATTCTTCACTCAGATCTCAGTCCAAAAGTTACCTACTTGGACTATTTCTTCACTATCCTATTTTTTGTACAGGGAAGTAAAACTCAAGTGAGCAGATAATTCACCATCAGAACATGCTTGAATCCAAGCTGGTGGAGGTCTGCAAAGCCATGGCCTATGGTGGCAGAGTGGCGGCTAAATGTCTAGAGGCAGCAAAATGTAGTAGATAAGAGGCAGATTCTGGAGTCAAGGTTTCTGTGTTCCAATCTTGGCTCTATCTATACTAACTGAGAGAAAATGGGCAAGTACTAACCTCACTGTGCCTCCATATCTTCATCTGTAAAATGAGGAAAATGATCATATCTATTTCATAGAGTTATTACGAGGATTAAATCAATTAGTATAGAAAGTGTTTAGAATGATGTCTGATATATAAGTTCAACTATTATTATGGGGTCCTTCCATAGTAAGACGTGTAAATAAACCAAAATGTTTGATGTTATTTTTAGAACGCTCATGAACTGAAAAGATTTGCCTTCCCCGTTCACCCACCAACATCCACACGTTAAAAAGAGGTGAGAAAAAAAAAGCCTGTTGCTCTTTGGGAAGACAGAAGGGGCTAGAGGAAGAGCAGACAGGTCAGGGAAGAGAAAATTCAAAAATTCTGAAGTCCTCAAATACTGATGAGGTCAGGTCAAAAAGGCACATGGTTGCAGGGGCTTCTGCTGGTCAAATTTGAGACAATCTGAGCACTAAAAAAGTAATGCTGATAATATACACATTGAATTTTTTAAAAATAAATCCATAGTGATGGGGGCATGAGAGGGAAGGAGGAAGGAGGGAGAGAGAGACAAAGGGGAGGGAGAGGAGAGAGAAGGAGGGTGTGAGAGAGAGAGGGAAAGAGAGAGGGAGAGAGAGATTTCTTCTTTACGAGGGAAGTCAGCTAATAAAAGAAGGAATGATAGAATTAGAAAAACAATTTTGCAGCCCTCACTGTAAAAACTGATTCAAGCGATGATCATCAATGGATGCTAAACCATTGGGTAAAATGTTGTAAGGAAAGCGGAATATTCTTGTGGATCAAAATATCACCCCACAAATTATTCTTACCCCCAAAAGAAAGATGTAGCGGTCAACATCTTAACCAAGTGCTCAAAATTAGTATCACCAATGGTGGGACAAGCTGACATCACGTACCTCTTGATTTGAAGCAATAAGAAGTACATTATTCCTATCACATATGTAGTAGAATTCTATATAGTATTTACGCAAAAACATTTGTCCTGAATGTGATACGGGGAAACAGTGAGGAAATTTCAGAACATGGTCAATTGCACAAAAGAAACGGCCTAAACTTTTCAAAAAAACCCCAAGTCAATGGCCACTAAACAATGTGTGTGGAGTTGACTATTCTAGATTGAGAGACTAAGGAGACCAAACAACCAGATGCAGTGCACGAAACTTAATTAGATCTCAAATTTCAAAAGAAAGAAGCAGCTATAAAAAACATTTTGGAAATAATGAGGAAATTTCAAAAGAGCATATACTGGATGATATTTAGATATGAAAGTTATGCTTATATAAGAGAATGTCTCTATTCTTCAGAGTTGCTTACTGAGGTACTTAAGGGTGTAGTGTCATGATGTCTGTAAATTCCTTTTCAAAAGTTCAGAAAAAAAAGTGTGTGTCTATAAACATGTGTCTGTGTATGTGTGTGTTAAAGTACATATTGCAAGAATTTAAAACTCGCAGAATGAAATGACGGATACATGGGGGTTCACTGTACTATTATTTCAAATCTGCTGTATGTTGAAAAAAAATTTAAATGAAAACAAAAATGTAAACACAGCAAAAAAATTAGCAGCTTCTTACCTGTTGCATTCTGCGCTCCCGCCAGCCTGGCTCTTATTAAGCCGTGTCTCTCTTTGAGGCGAAGAATCCGAACTTTTGGAAACTGAGACATGTATTTATCCAAATTATCTTTCAGGTAGTCTGTATCCAAGTAAGGATAGACAAGATAACACTTTAATTAGCTAGGTCTGGATAATACCAGAAGCAATGACTCCTCAACGTCAAATTCCAAAAGCTATGACAATTACTACAGTCACTAAATTTTATCCCTTGGGCTGTGATTTTATTTTCTGACATCATTTTTCTTGGATGGATTTTTGTCTGGGTTCAACACTCTAAGCTGTCTGTTTTCTTAAATCCCAAATCCTTCTTTTCAGTGTTGCCAAGTTATACAGAGGAGGGCTCATCTTTTCTGAGTATTTGTCAGGACAGGGGCACATTTACCTTGAAATAAATGAAGCTCAGGTTTCTGCACAAACTTTCCAGATTGCGAGGTCTTCTTCCAAGACCCAGGGAAGAGGCTAAGCATTGTATGCAAATTGAAAAATTTGCCAAAGAAAGATATTGCAACTGCAATTGGGTAAGACCACTGTGACTTCCTGTGGTGACATCCACTCTGTCATATGTTCCCTCTCTTGCTGGAGGCATGAGGGAGGCAAAGAGGGGTCCAGCTAAAGGAACCTTGTTGGGGTTTTATGGGGTATATTTATGTAGCTTGCAGTCCCTTCTATGTATAGTTAAGCTACTGACAGGTATCCCAGATAGAAGGGGATTCCAGGGACCCTTCTGCTGTTCATTTTCCTGCTAATTTTGTGTTCTTTTTCTTAAAGAGGACCCTGAAAACCATGTAAGCTTCAGGTCCCAGGAAATCTGGATCTGCCATTCATAAAGGGACTATTACCTGCTTGGTAACTATATACTATTTCTGTTTATGCTTTCAAGGCCATTTCTTAAAGTTTTCAACTAGTTTTCCTTAGACGTCTCACTGCTCCTGGAGCTCAGGGTGATTGGTTGGGACACTGAGGCTGAGGAAACTGGCCCATGTCATTGTGGTCATGATCAAAGCTCAACGGTTCTGTTATGGTTGTTCTCTCTGCTATTTTCTGAAATTTTCTGAAGTGCGTTGCATTTGAGGAATTAGTAATGTGGCGGTGATGGGACCTCTGGTGGTCATGGAACTACTTGCATACACAAATTATTCGACAACCCAAAGAGAGATTCTTCACTGTAATAAACAAAAACAAACATAAAGATCATGGTGGATTCTGCCTTTGAGCTCTGTTGGAACCTCATCTCTCCAGTCCCATTGGCAATTTGTCTTCCTGACACTTAACTGAACACACAATATGCTTTGCTCTTGAGGACGAAGCCATAGGCTTTCCATTTCTTGGTTTTCCATAGACTCTAACTCTTACTTTAATTATTACCGGTAGGAAAGGCATCCCATTAATTGTGGGGTATTTGCTTATTAGATAAAAAAAAGTACTAGACATAAAAAGAATATTTGTGTAATTGCAGAGAACATCTTCTGGTCTCTGGAACTTCAAAGTGCCCATCTCCAAGGAGCTGCAGTTAGAAAATCACTCCTCCATTGCAGAGAAGTCGCAGCTGAAGGGAAGTCTGAGGCAGCTAACCTAACAGAGCCTGATGATAGTTAGAGCTGACTTTCTGTATCCCATAGATGCTTGGAGTCAGGCCTCTAAGGTACCACATGAAACAATGATCTGGCATTTGTAAAATGTTTATACTTTGTTAAGTTACTCTATAATTTTGCCCTCCATCCAAACTACTATTGCCTCATATCAAGCTATGATTTTCCAGGAGTGATTTTCTTACCTTTGGTGCTGAAGTCATCCACCAACAGAATCTCCTTGATGAGGTGTGGAGGAGAGCGATTGAGGACGCTATGAACAGACCTCAGGAGAGTGGACCACACTTCGTCCACAAAGCACATGATGACACTGGTGGTTGGGAGGTTATTGTGAACTAGCTGTTCTGCACACCTGGGCCAGAACACAAGCAGAGTACAAGCAATGTGCTAACAAGATCCACAAGATGGTTTTAAAAGTCACAGAGTGTGATTGTATGTATACACATATACACTCACATGGTCTGTTCATCTGTCTGTGTTTTTGTCTGTATGTCTATATATTTATTTATCCATCCATCCAGTCGTCTGTCTATCCATCCATCCATCCATCCATTTATCTATATCAGTGATGATTTTATCATCTGCTTTTTCTTGGGGAGGGGAATAAGCAAAATGAAAGAGCAGAGGAAGAATAGCCAGTTACAGTAGTTGCTATAAAAGGACTAGCAAGGCAAGACACGAGAACTTCCTGTGGAGGCATCACGCTGTGGTGGAAAGGATGTGGGCTTTGCAGGTGGTTAGACGCCATTTTAAATCCCACGACCGCTATTTCTCAGATCTTTATCCATTGATACCTTACTTAATCTCTTTGTATCTCAGTTTCCTCATCAGTAAAATGAGGTAATGATTCTTATTTAAGAAAGTTTAACAACCTAGTGAGAATGTACATAAAATGTCTAGCACAGTTTCTGGCACAGGAATTCACCAAATGGGAGCTATTGTTAACCTAATTAGATCATATACCACAAGAGAACATTCTGACTTATTTAATGTTACTAAGTAGTTTATGAATGCCTTTCCAACTGGCCTTCTGCCAAATGGCAAAGGAAACGTTCTTTCTCCCACTCTGCCTGTAAAGGTGTTTATGGAAATGTATATACATTAGGTGTGTATTTATGCCAAATGATTCACCATTTCAGCTACCCTATCTCTGCTACAGAGTAGCCACAGTTGCAATTATGTTCTGGCACAGAAATGAGAACAAGGCTACAGTGGGAGTTGGGATTCACGTGGGTTGTAATTGCTCTTGGGTTTTTTCCATACCCTGCAGTGCAGACCGCCTCACTGCTGGCATTTTTCCATCTCCCACCTGTGCTCCTCTTCAGGGAATGGTGCCCGGTGGAACCTGGCAAGGACTATTTGTCCTCCCTTAAGACAGCTACTGTTAGCAATGCAATTATTAAATTATGATGAGCATCAATAAATATTGTAGGCACTCTGCATTATTTCAATTCAAACCTCAAACCAATAGCATCTCCTCCTCTTTTTATAGATGAATAATTGAAATCATGGGGAGACTAGTCCGTGATTATACTGTTAGTAAATGGTGGAGTTGGGATTCAAACTCTGGTTTAGTCTGGCTCCAGAAATAACCATTTAAGAAGTCCTAAGTCCACAAGAATAAAAGCAGCTGGCAGCAGATGTAACATTTTGTGGGGGCAGGCACTTCTGCCAGATAATATAGCTACACTTTGCTTAGTCTGTAACTAAGAAGTAGATAAGAGTAAAAGCCATAGTAAAACCGTATTTGCATAGCACTTTACAGTTGGTAAAGTACTATTATGTACATGACTAAATTCAATCTTTATAACAACTGCTTGAGATACATATCATTATAATCTTTTTCCAATAGAGGAAACCGAAGCTCAAGAAGTTAAATGACTCGCCCAACACATCATTTGCCCAGAAAGAACGTACATGGAAATGTGAACAAATATTTTTCATTTCACTGCACTATGCTGATTTTCTCGTGCTAAGGGGATGGGTTTTGGAATCAGAGAGAGATGTGGTCGAATATCAGTTCCCCTAGTTAATGGTTTGGATAAAGTATAGAACTTTGGATAAAGTATATAACTTCTTTGAACCTCAATTTGCCAAGTACAAAACAGAGATTGAGTCTACTTGTAAGATTAAATGCAAATATTATATAAAACTCACCTAGAATATATCTGACATACAGCAGGTACTTAAGAAAAGGTAGGGGAATCTAGCTATGGTTTGTGATTTCAATGGGTTCTTGAAATGGTTGCTTACTATAATAACCCATGAAACCTTAGAAAAACATACATATCCAGTCCCCAGCCCCAGAAAATCAGTTCAGGAGGTCTGAATAGGCTCTGAGAAACTTTCTCTTAAAAAGCAAACAAACAAAACAAAAATACAACCAACCAATAAAAGACACACAAGTTGTTGAGAGGCCAGTTTGGGAACTTGAGCTCTAACACAAAGTGGATTTATTTGCCTTGTCCTTTGTGGCTAATCTTAAAAAAATAAATTGAGGGCTGATAGGAGCATGTCCCGAATCTTCAAGTGATGTAAAATAACACATTTGGTCAGGTATCTTGATGTAGTGATTAGGTATCTAAAGTCAACATAAACTAGCAGGCAGCCTAAATTTGTCTGGTTCTACACCAAGGATCCATGCATTGGCATCTCTGAATAAAATGAGACATTCCTGACTTCACTTAAGGGCTGCATTAATTTCTTGTGGCCGTTCTAACAAATTACCAAAAATTTTGCTCAATGGTTCCTTCCTCAGTTTATCGCTTTCCTCTCACATTTTACTATAACAGAAAGAAAATAACAGGCCACACCTTCAACACTTAGCTTGGAATTCTCCTCAGCTAAATATCCAAGCTCATTGCTTGTTCTCCTTTCCACAGAACTGTAGGATACAATTTAGCCAAGCTTTCTGCCACTACGTTGCACAGATCACCTTTCTTCCAGTTCTCAATGAAACATTACACATTTCCTTCTGAGCCCTCACAAGAAGCACTTAGAATGCTCATAGTTCTACCAGCATTCTGTTCAGGACAATATATGTACGCTTATGGATGATAGGAGCTTCCTTTACGGTGCTCCTCATCTCCTTCTAAACCTCATCATCAGCATCTTCAACGTTCGTATTTCCACCAACCATTTCTTCAAGGCCATCTAGGCTTTGCCTGTCATACTTCTCAAAATTTTTCTAGCCTCTACCCATTATCCAATTCTTTGGACATTATTTGGATAATACTTCACATTTTTAGGTATTTGTTACAGCTGCACTCCAGTTCCTGATTCCAAAATCTACATTAGTTTCCTGTGGCTTCCATAACAAAGCACTACAAACTGCATGGCTTAAAACAGAAGAAACATATTCTTTCACAGTTCTAGAGGCCAGAAGTCTGAAACCAAGGTGTCAGGAAGGCCATACTGCCTCCAGGGCCTCTAGGGGAACTTCTGTTTCTTGCCTTTTCCAGCTTCTGCTGGCCTTCCTTGACTTGTGGCTGCATCACTCCAGTCTCTGTCTCTGCCTTCACGTTGTGGGGGACTGGAATTGGCCACCCCAAGATATGTCTTTTAGGCATGAGGATTATTTTGGGCTCGTTACTTTTAAAGACTGCAGACATGAGAGAGACTGTAAAATGTAGAAGTTACCCTTTGTAAAGAGACATTTACATTTGTAAAGGAAATCTCCATCTGTAAAGGTGTCTCCCTCTCTGTACCAGGAAGGAGGGGGATGACCTTGTCTCTAGAAACTCTTATCAATGCGGAAGGCAAGGACTTCAATCTGCATAATAACCTTACTCTTGTTTACTGTGCTTTTCTGGTAACCTCCTATAACTGACTCCCTCCACCCCCAACATCCTCCTTTGCCTTTAGCTGAAGAGGGTATTTAAGATGAGAACCTCTGCCATTTTGGCAAGTTGCTCAGTTTTCCCGAGTCTCTGCCAAGTATACATGTTATAAAGCTTTGTTTAATTTTCTCCTGTTCTTCTGTCTCCTGAGTTTTAATTCGTAGCCGAGCCAGAATGACCCAGAGTGGCTGGAGGAAATGCCTTCCTCCCCTACAACATCACCTTCTCTTCGGTGTCTCTGTGTGAAAATTCCTTCTGGCTCTTTTTTATAAGGATATATATCATTGAATTTAGGGCTTACCTAGATAATTTAGGATAAACTCTTTCTCTCAAGCTCTTTAACTTAATCAAATCTTTTGCCATGTAAGGTAATATTCACAGGTTATTGAGATTAGAAGCAAATATAGCTTTGGGGGGCCATTTCTTTCAGCCTGCCACAAGGGCCTAATAAGTTAAAGTAAGAAATACACTTTTGGTGATAGATTAAAATTAGACTTTTGGTGGTGAATACGATGTAGTCTATACAGAAGCCAAAATATAATGATGTACACCTGAAATTTATACAATGTTATAAACCAATGTGAATTCAATAAAATAATTCTAAAAAAAAAGAAATATACTTCTTGAGAGAGAGAGATGACACATCCGTTATTTCTTTGAATGGGTGAGTGACATCCTTGCCCCTCAGGAAAAGGTAGGTTTGCTTTGAATTAAGAGACTTATTAAAGTAAGGGAATAATTTTTTTTTTTTTTTTTTTACTATATTTATGGCTTCTTTGAAGTTTAGGAATTTATGCATTGAAGACCATGGAAGTGTTAATTGGTGTTAGCAAATTATGAATTATAATATTAAAATTCAATTATAGAAAAGAAAAATAATTAGAAAAAGAGAGGACAAAATAAGAATGGAGGGATTTCCAAGCATTAAATAGAATATTGTAGTATTTGATGGCATAATTACTGACAATCCAACAATTGAAGGACAATTTTGGTATTAGACAAACTTTAAACTCTGGAATTTTTTTCGCAATGCAAAAATGTCTCTAATGTGAGAATTCACTTCTCAGCATCTCTGGTGATGAACATCAAGGACCAGAAGTGAGGAGACTAAAGTTTGCCAAGAGGAAATGAGTGGGGATAGAGTACAATGGATTAAAGAGTAAAGGGTTGATGAGAGAGTGCAAGCTATTTTGTACACTAGTTTGGGAGGAAACCTGGAGAAGAAAGAGAGAAGATAACCATGTGGGATGCAGGGCAAATTTGTCATCCTTGTTCCCTCTCCCTTTCCTGAGAAGGAAGGAACAGAATCATATTTATGGGCTTCAGGGAAGGTACAAATAGAGTTGAGAGTTAAAAGAATCAGTGATTGATAGGATTATTGGTGGAGCAAGGTCTCTCTCCTTGCATTAATCAACCTTACAGTGGCAGTTGACTCAATTGATAAGTCTTGACTCCTTGAGTCACTCTCCTTTTTTTCCTCTGTCCTGTAAACAATACCTTCTCCTGGTTTTCA